AGAAAACTCTGTTAAATTTGAAAATAAAGAGAGGTCATGCAGCAATTAGATTCTCTTAATTAAAAAATGTCCTCCCTCACCACATTTCTTACATCAGTTATTGGTGAAGAAAATATTGTGAAACTCAAGAACATGATATCACAAGTTTATTTCTCTATTAAAAGCCATTAAAAAGCGTTCTATTCAATCTAAATTCAATGAAATATACCAAGAGGCTTTTAAAAATAAAATTTATCCCAAAGGCAGTGACAAATGGGTTATCAATGTTTCCTCAACCAATACAACCCCTCAGGCAGTCAATATTTTAAGTTTGGGCACCAATTTTTCTTCCACCTCTTCTAAATAGTCCATTGTCATTCCTAACCTAATCACTGATCTAAAAGGCATATACAGAGATACCGAGTTACGAAGAGAAGACAGTTATCCCGCATTCTGATCAGCAACATGACATCTCACCACTTTGGCTTTCGTCCCCTTTTTTTCAAAGATTTATCCTTAATACGTTCTTTTCTCAGAATTAATGACCACCACATTATTACAAAGGATGGAATGGGAATCCGGCATTTATTATGGACAAGACCGAATACTCATACAAAGTGCAACAACTAATTTTAAACCGATCAACTTACGTATCTTCCCCTCGTGACCCAAACCCGTTCGCTAATGTTAAGATTTCACCAACACATTAAAAACATAGTCGAGACAAAACAAATTAACCGTCCTACTTACTACAACCTCATATCCTACAACTCTTTAGCACCCCGCTTAAAGGGACTCCCGAAAATTCACAAACCTGGTAATCCCCTCCGCCCGATTATCTCCAATATAAACGCTCCCTCAGCTAAACTCGGAAAATTCCTTGTATCCTCTCTCCAAAAACTTATCCACAATGATCCTTATGACATTAATAATGCATTTCACCTCAAAGAAGAATTGTCTCTTCTCCATATTCCTAACAATTTTATTCTTGTTTCTTTAGACGCCAAAAGCTTATTTAACTACATTCCAATAGACAAAGCCCTCCACATTGTACAAAAAAAACTAGACAATCATCGAACCTCAACCTCACACCACCCTCAACCTCTCCTCATACCTAGAATCCTTTGAGCTTTGTTGGAGATTCGGAAACCTCACTATCCAAGGAAAATTCAGATTAACCAGATTTCAGATCTAGCCATGGGAAATCTTTAGTATCGGATGTTTCCAATATTGTTCTTAATGACCTTCTAGACTCCGTTATTCCTTCTTTCCATCAAGACATCATTTTCATTATAAATACGTCGAAGACCTCCTCCTTGTTCTTAACCCTGACAGCATTCCTCATAGCCCTGGAGTCAGGGCTCAAAAATCGATCTGATCACAGGCGAAAGTTTGATTGTAAATTACGAAACTTTATGTTATTCTAAGTAAAAAGAACCTTGTCTGCCGTTCCAGAGCCGTTGCTTTCAAAAATGGAGGCTGGTTTAAAGAATATTAGGCTAATAATTTGAGGATCGAAACGAGAAATAAATAAAAGTGTCCTTTCCAATGATTTCTCGCTCAACACCACTAGCGGATCCAGGATTTAATTTTGGGGAAGTTTCAGCCCGACAGATTTTTTTTTCACATATATAACGATATTTACTTCGAAAAAAAAAGAACACCTATATGAAATGGTGTTTCAATGATTCTTTAAGTTCTATTATATGTGATTATACGAGCAATAATACTTCAAGAGATAATTTTTAAATATTTTTTTCCATAAAACATGGTTACATTTTGGAGCGGTTTGGGCTTCAGCCCGAAAGCACCCCTCCCCCTCCGTAGATCCGCCTGTGCTCAACATTATACAACTTTTAAACAGCAATATGACCAAATCTGATCCACAGTTGATATCAAATCAACTTTCAGCGTGTCAAAAATATACTCCTTTCCAATGATTTCCCTCTCAACACTATACTCAAATTTTTAAACAACTATACAACCAAAAACAGTACAACCTCCCCTTCTCTCAACTCCCCACAATCACCTACCACTCCTTTCATATACAAATCTCTCTCCTATATTCCTATTCTTTCAGATAACATCCAAACATTCCTAAAATCTACTATAACTAACATACGTCTTGGCCTTAAGTTCCATAACGAACTTTCTTCCCTTTTGACCAACTTGAAGGATCCCATACTTTTACAATACCGTAAATGTAATGTAGTTTGCCGGATACCTTGCTCCACCCCTAATTGTAATAGTACCTATATTGGCGAAACCAAAAACCATCTCAAAACCCGTATTTGTCAACATAAAACAACAGTATTGTTTAGAGTAAGCTTATTGAGGTTTACCCCATCACATATAGCGTTGACATCATCATAAGTTTTAGGATGGCATCAGAATAATCAGCGGGACCGAAGAAAAGTTGAATTTGGACGTCATTAGCATACAGGTGCTATTGACAGTGCAGGATAGAGGATGGAAGGTTATTGATATAGATTGAAGAAAGGGTGGGACTCTGATGGAGGATTTTTAGGGTTGACTACAACATATTGTAAGCGACCAGTAAGAAAAGAATGGAACCAACTAAGGGCAATATAGGACAAGATGACATTTTTAAGTGGTATTGTGGTCTACCTAGTCGAAAGTTTAAGAAAAATCAAGGGAGTTTCTATTGGTCTATTGCTGTGTGGGGATGTTAGAAGGGCGGAATGAATGGAGTAGTCATATCTAAAATCGGATTGGAAGCGATCAAAAGATTATTTTGCTCGAGATAGTAGGATAATTGTGACTGAACTAGCTATAAAGTTTGAAAAGGTTAGATAACAATGAAATTGGATGAAAATCATTCAAGGTTTCGGGAAGATTTTATTCAGCGGACGAACAAGGGCAGTTCAATTACTAGGGAAAGTGGAACTTTTTTATGAAAAATTATTGATAAGATATAGAAGAGGGAGGATGAAAGAAGTGAGAATTTAACCAGATTAACAGGGATGTTATCTGGTCCGAAATCATTGGTTGGGATTTACGAGTGAATTAAGCAGGTCTTCAGTGGCCTCACGTCTAGATAAAACGTAAAACACTGAATTTTCGCTTGAGACAATTATATTAGATATTACACAGACGTTCTGAATTACCACTCAGACATAAACTAACTTATTTACTTTTGTATTTATTTACTAAACCCCATATGGAACTACACATGTCAACTTTAAGAACCAGGAAAAAAAGAACAGTATCAAAAAATTCAAACGTTCCAATTCCAGTTTTTAAACCCAAACCCAACACCTCATGTTTATAACAATACCCTTCATACCGACTTATGCGTTCCGACTGGAACAAATTACATTTGTAAGAATTACAAACGGTTTCACGACAAATTACACGGATATGTAAACAAATTTATACCACATATGACAACAACTTACAAAGGAGTTGGATGAGGGACAGCGTGAATGTAAAATTTCGTTGAATGTCAGGAGGATACATCACAGGGTTTGTCTCTCGCTTGCCTAGCCATGAATATGGTGCACATTAGCTCATTTGCTGAATGTAATATTTTATAGGTGTAAATAAAATATTTTAGATTAAAAAAAATTAAAAAGTGGCCTTTTAATATTAACGATTCAATTTAAAATTATATTTCAAACTTATTTAGATCATTCCAGTAATTATTGATTACAATTAGATCGTCCACAATTTTCATTCCTATCCAGTGTAACACGAGTTCAATTAAGTGCAAAATTGCATATGATTACTGGTCATGACATCTTTATAAAATAGGAGGCACTGGCTCTTTCCCCCTTTAATCTATGCAATTGCGGGAGGAATCATGGATGCAACTCTCTTAAACGTATCCATGAGAAATTCAACTCTATCCAAATCAGAATGGTACTGGGCTGATAGATCTCTAATAAAGCTGAAGGAGAAAAGCAGAATGAGAAAAAGCGTAAAATATTCCATGCGTTGTACTAGCCCGCAATATTTGAGTATTTGTAATATATTTTTGGATACTGCCCAGGATTTTTACTTAGGAACTATATGGTTTCAGTAAATTAATTAAAATCAATAGACAAAAACTAATTAATATACCCATTATGGGCAAAATTCTGAAAAAAAAATCATCTTGAAACGTCTGTATCCCATCCTAGACCCATTAGACTCACTATTAAGCAATGCCATCGTGTAGTAGATGTAGTCTCCTCTGCATCGGAGCGCGGAATGTACTGCACGGGAGTCTTTCTCGACATTGAACAGGCGTTTGAAAGAATCTGGCATCCGGGACTGATTTACAAACTCCGTAAATTCCTACCACCTACATACTTCCTCGTTATCCGTTCTTACCTTACTGACAGATACTTCCTATAGAAGGATTCAAATAAATTCCAATAAATCCCATCAAATTACCTTTACTCTTCGTCGTAAACCTATAACTTCCTGTCCTACAGTATCCTTCAACAATAACCCACTTATTCCTGTTGAACAAATCCGATACCTAGGACTGAAACTATTACTGCAGCACTTACTAGACAAACGCACTAAACTTTACACTATTTACAAAAGACTCATATATATTACTATAATAAGGCCTATTCGGACTTACGGGATCGAGCTTTGGGGCTCTACTAAACCATCAAATTCTTCTCGAAACCAATCCCTGCAATCCAAAATCCTTCGTAAAATCCTTAATGCTCCCTACTTTGTCACAAATAAAATCATCCATAACGACCTTAATGTACCCTATGTTTCCGATTTAGATCAATCCAAATACCTATCCTTCCATAATAAACTTCTGAACCGTCCGAACCCTCTTGTTTCCTACCTTGCTTCCTCTTTATTCCTGATAACTCTCCGAGGCGTCTGAAAAGAAGATGGCCTCGGGACCTTCTAATATAGAAATATAATTGGAGTGCTACCAATGGGTAGTTTCTCTTCATGTTGTACATGTCAAGTTACTTATTTCATATTTACTAGTTGTATTTATCATTATACAGTTGTGAATTTCAATATTAAAAATAAAATAAATTTCTATAATTTGTGACTGATTCTTATTCTGTTGTAAAGGGAAATTGTATAACGGGTGTTGAGGAAAAGAATGAAGATGAAGATACAGACTCTTCGACTCTTGATATTGATTTAAAAACTATGGACTTGGAGACGTTACCTGACCTGTCCGCTTTTGCTGCTGACAGCCAACCCGCGGTATATGACTGTGAAGTAGATTCCCAAGGAGTTGTGGATGTAGAATACCTCACGTTACCCCCGGAATACGAAAGGGAACTGTTGGTCTTGTCATCCGACGAGGAAGACGACTCAACCTCGGTGGAAGACACGGTCTGCTTCGCCTACAACTACGGCGGCGCCGACCTGGAGAACACGGTGGGCTGGGACAGGCTGGGTCTTCTCCCCGACCCCTGGGCGGAGGCCAGGCACCCCACTGTGGAAATGTTAACGTCAGTCGGTATTGTATATGTACATTTACGAGACCGCCAGCTTAATATGTGTATTAATTTGATGTTTAGTTAGATTAATCTATACTTTTTTTTTTTTTTTTTTTTTTTTTTTAGGTTTTTGATTTATTTATTTAGACATATAATATTCTGTCAAAGGGACAATAATTATATTGATAAATGGACACATTCACACCGTATATACAAAAAAAAAAATAAATTAACAAAGTAAAACAATAACTAAATAATAATAAATAAAAACTATATACAATAAAAAAATAAAATAACCTAAATATAAGTAAATTAAAAACATCAATTTACTTTGTATATACGGTGTGAATGTGTCCATTTATCAATATAATTATTGTCCCTGTGACAGAATATTATATGTCTAAAAAAAAAAAAAAAAAAAAAGATTAATCTAACTAAACATCAAATTAATACACAAAATAACGCATTTAAATTGATTTTCTTTTCTTTTTTCAACTGTGTCAAGTAAGTAAAAATCACACTAGAGAAAAAAACGTCTGCCAAGTAAGGTCAGTATAGCTTCCTCACCGTTTCCGTTGTATATTACAAGGTATACAATTTTTCGAATGAGAATAAAATCTCTGAGAGAAGCAGAATCGGAATAGCTGATTACAGTTACCCTTCAACATTCAACAACAGAGGTCGTATTTGAATATTCCATACTTGATTATGCTTAATAAAAAAAATAAATAAATAAAAAAAAATGCATACTGAACATGAATTTCAATACTGTTAGTTCAAAAGGTTTTATGTATAAATTTATTTATTGTTTTACAAGAGTGCATAAAAACTCAATATTTCTTTATGCTTTATTAGAATAATTTCATATTTTATTTTCATCTGCTATTTTCCATAGTAGCAGACTACTTATATCAGTTGCAGACTACAAAATATCACCTTTAATATACATAGAATTAAAGTTGAAAATTATTACATACGAACTTATGCTCTAATAATAGTATATACATTACCGAATCAAGATTTAATTTTGGAGGAGGGGCTTCAGCACGAAAGATTTAAATATATATATATATATATATATATATATATATATATATATATATATATATATATATATATAACGATAATTAATTTGAAAAAAACCACTGAAAATTATTTCTCTTTGGTATATTATTTCCAAACAATTATACATATAAAGTAACATTAAATTTCTAGTTATAAAGAAAAATAAATAAAAGGTGATTCTAATTATTGGACTAAAATCTTTAGTAATCATTAGTAATATGATAAAAAAGATAGCATTACTTCAGTAACACATTCAGAAATCAAAAAAAAGATAAACCTTTTGCAATAGCACATCTAAAAAAACCTAGAGACGATATCTTTGCTCCTAATTGTCCGATTTTGACGATTTTTTTTTTGTTTTTTAAGAAATTCCGTAAACTTCTAAAAAACCATATACAATATTGACATAAATGTGTATACTTCTTGAGTTATTCGGAATTTAATTTTACCATCCCTCGTAACTTTTTTTGAGCTTCTTTTCGTTGAAGTATGTAGTATAGATAAATTTAGAGGGCGTAGAGAAAATGACTTTAGCGAAGTTTCATCAAAATCGGTTCATTCGTTTAGGCGCTACAGTCTATAGCAACGCAGGTTTTTCGGCCGCCATTTTGAAACTAGAAGGCGAATAGTAATGTCGTTGAAGGAGGATGATCCTCGGGTGACCTCTGATTTTATATCCAAATTCGAAAAAAATCGGTCTAGTAGTTTCAGAAAAAATGCGCGGACGGCGGACGGCGGACTAGTAGTGCACATATAAGAGAAAGTGTTGGACGCAATTCAATGAAATTGACACTACATTATTTTTTCACCAAAGTCTACCTTTTATCTAACTTTGAGCCAAATCGAACGAGCCCTTTCTGAAATATTGGCATATCTAAAAATATACGTTTGCGCGTGCGTAAGCGGAAGTGCTGTGTGGAATTTGATAAAATTGATATGGGACCATCTAGGCACCGATCAGCATAATCCCTGAAAATTTCATGAAGATTGGATGAACGGTACTAGGTGATATGCCCGTCACATCGATTTGACTACAGACAGACAGACAGACAGACTGACAGACAGACAGACAGACAGACAGACAGACAGACAGACAGACAGACAGACACCGAACCAAACTTGATCCTTGATGTCTGAAACGTAAAACGCGAGTGAAAATTTTCGATTCTGAGCAAAAAAAATTTTTTAATTTCTCGCACGAACACAATGCTTCCCTACCTTCGGTAGTGAGGAAGCAAAACAAATACGGTGTGTGCTTAAGATCACACGATAGAAGTGAAAACATTAACAAAGCGGAATTAATAATATGAAATATAAATATTTTTTTGTTCTATATTTACAAAGTAATAACATTTAAATTATAATTGTGTATAACTTACTCTGGTAATCTCTGACTGATAGTCATTTGTGTCATACTCTAAAGATGAATCAATAGGTTTATGATAACTAGAGACCGGATTTTCGTTCTATAAAAATAAAAAAAACGTGCAGCAAAAAACTCAAAATGTGCAAAATCAGGTACTTGTGAGCGATGCAGCCTCTATGGGCTGCTATCTGCAGTTAACTTGTTATTTAAAATGTTGTTGTTGTTGTTATTTATATTTCTTATTACTAAATGTTTATAACTTGGTAATTGTTATAAGGCACTGATAATCCCTATCTTCATATGAAATTAGACTCTCGTATAATAAGAAATATAAATATATTTGGTGTCTTCTCTTTTTTGTCTGTTTCTTATGAATACATTCATACATACATGCATATATATATATATTAATAAGATATATAAATATAATAATAATATAGTTATTTAATGATAAGAAATATAAATAACAACAACAACACTTTAAATGACAAGACAACTGCAGATAGCAGCCCATAGAGGCCGCGTCGCTCACAAGTATCCAAAATCGTTGAGTAAAAACCTAAATACGTAAATTTTTTTTAATAAAACCTAAAAATGTGAAAATCATCAAAATTGTATAATTTATAATATTAATACATCAAAGTTTTATCACATCTTGAGTTATATGATAGATAAAAAATTAAAATGTAGCATTGAAAATTAAATTACATATTATAATCATAAACGACAACAATACCTAATATAATTAGGCAATAAATTATGATTAACCTAAATCTTCAAGAAAGAGAAATTTAATCAATAATAAGGATTGCATAAATCTAACACTGAATAAAACTAATATTTATTTATCTTCCCTTCATTTCCCGATTCTTATATAAATTGCAGAAAATATACCTTGTATGCAATACAACAAACGATGATTCTTGGGCTACTTTATACATCTAATTTAAGTTCATTTAATGCTGCTAATGACCCGCTCAGGTAGATGCGGAATGTAGAAAATAAATTAAAAAAAAATATGTTAGTGTCGAAGCTTTTATTATAAATCATAAACAAAAAAAATATATATACAGGGTGTCCCCTAAGTACAGAATTTTTTTTAAAAGGTTGATAGCAGACATCAAGGTCTACAAAAAGGCTTATATAAACAATTGCCCAATTTCCAGCAGGAAATTAGGAAATTTAAGATTTGTGTATTTCTAAGCGAGTCACATTTTTTGTTGAATGCGAAGCGTTAACATCAAAAATATTTGATTTAAGTAATTAAACATTGCTCCGTAGGAAACTAGACAAAATTTACCTTAAACGAAAGTAGAGTTCGTTACTGTTAAAACTATTTAAAGAGGACTATTTGGCTTACAAACACACCTAATTTCTGTATTAAAAAAGTCATAAATTATTTCTGATTTTATTTATCACCCTTTAACTGTACATTTATTTACCCCACTTTTAGGAAATCTTCCTAGTTTTATAAGCATTTTAGTCCATATTAATTAATTGGTGTTTATTAGAAAAAAGTTTAAGATTCACCTCAAGTTGTGTATAGAAATTATGTGGTCACCTAAAAGTATCCGTGTTTTCAGCAAAAGCCACTGTCCAGAACGTCTACAATTAATATAAAGTATCCACTTTACATCACAAGTAACAAATCTGGACGGAAAAGGGTCGTTTTTGTTTCTGGAAAGAAGTGTAGCATAAACTTCAAACGCTGTTTTTTTGGTGGTTGTTTAAAATGTGTGAGACCCAACTTTCAAGATCTTTTGCCGAGAGGTGGTCATCGACGGTCAATTTGCTAAGGCTAAGTTTACCTGCAAGTTCTCGATTAGTTGTTCTGGGGTGTCCTTCCACCAAAGCCAGCAGAACATCGTCATCAAGAGAGGAAGTCCTTCCACGTTCATCTTTGTCTTCAAGGTTGAAGTCTCCCTCCCGAAATTTTTTGAACCACCGTTGAAGAGTGAACTCATTAATGCTGCTCTTGCCCTAGACTTGATTGATGTTTCTGGCAGCTTGGACCCCATTTCGGCCGAGTTTAAACTCGTAAAACAAAATTATACGAAAATCAAGCGTTGACATCTTAGTAAAGACTGAATTCTTTCTAAGCAGCGGAATGCTACAGAGGTAAAAAAAACATTATCGTTTGGAAGAGGTATAATAAGTTTTACATTCATACAAATGAATAATCCAGTAAACGTAAACAATTTATTATATAGAAGGGTATTTTAAAGAAAACTCAAATTCTGCATTATTTTCTGGACAACCCAATACTTTATACGACAAATAAAAGAATTAAAGAATCATAATTTTTATTATTTTTTTTATTTATCAATAAAAAGGGTACAGGCTATTATGTTTATTAAAATAAATCCCAGATCATGAAAAAATAATAAACAAATGCTTTGCAACAGTTAATTGTCGTAATTTTTAATGAAAACACGAGTAGTTTTAAGTTCGTGGATAGAAATTGACATAATTTCTTTACACAGCTTTAGGTGAATCTCAAGAATTTATAGTGAAATAATTGTTAATTACTTAAATTAAATATTTCTTCAGTTATCGCTTCCAATTCATAAAAAAACATGACACTTAAAAAAATACTAAATTTTAATTTCCTACTTTTCTGCTAAGAATTGACCCATTGTTTATACGATGTCTTTTTGTAGGCCTTGGTGTCCACTATCACTCCTATAAACATTTTCCTCTACTCTCGGGACACCCTGTATTTATATATATATATATACATATATATATATATATATATATATATATACATATATATATATATATATATATATATATATATATATATTATATATATATATATATATATATATATTATATATAATATATATTATATAATATATATATATATATATATATATATATATATATATATATATATATATATATATATATATTGATTTATATATTTTATACTAGAATATTATAGTAGTATAACAGTAATATTTCATATATATACTCACATAACTTTTAAACAGAAGAAATATTTAATAAGTTAAGATAAAATAAAAATTAATATTTTATAATTTTGTTTTTAATGCATCGACAAATTCAATTAAATCAAATACAAATTAAATAACCTCAAGAACATAAACAGAAAAAATTTGAGCAATATACTGCAATTTTCGAGTATGTTAGAGCCGATGTCCAAGAAACATTTCGCTTGTCCCAGACTTCATCACCTTAGGATATCACGGAATTGTGCCATATAGCGTTAGAATTATTTAAGATTCACGTTTAAATTTCATAGGAATTTAAGACTCACGTTACACCATAACGTAAAATGTGTATACGTTCAAATATTTCATTTTATCCGATATTCGGACCAGGATCTGTTGCTTTAAAAAATATATATGAAAATAATTTTTAATAAGTGAAGGTTGGGATTTAGTCCTAGAGAATTGCTGTGATTATCACTCCCTTAGTTACTATCGCTTTCTTTTCCAGGTCTGACGATTTAACATCAGATGAAATTGAACCAAACCTGAACATCCTTACATTATCTTCAGGATTGGGTAACATAGCACTGACGCCAGACCTGAAAGGATACGGATATACAAAGCTTCAGCTGCCGTCAAAAGTAAGCTTTTAAAACTTGACTGGATATCTATCACTTAATAAATCCACGCTTTCATCAATATCTGTGAGGCAGTATAATTATAAGTAGAAGGATCATTAACTATAAGTGGCAGTGTTCCTTTTTAATACTTTTTTATCTAGTGTATATGATATGACACCACATTAATAGCGCATATTTGGTCCATGGTATGCACTTGCGGATTCAAGGGGGAGGCTTTCGAGCTGAAAAATAACTTACCTTGCCCCCCTCCCCCCAATAAAAAAATTAAATTGTTTTAATTGGTCCATATTTGTTTCTATGAGTGATTTTAGCCAAATAATTTACCTCTTTATAATCATTGTACACTGACAGAATGTTATATTATTGAATAAATAAAAGAAGACAAATAATTAAACAGTAACAATGTGTTGTGGACGCTGTTATAACGCATAGCTTCCATCTGCTAAATGTAAGCATGTGTTAAGAAGGAGTATAAACAATTTTATTCCTTTAATTGTAATTAATTTATTCATTTATCATGCTTACAACAGTGTTGAAATAAAAATACATGTAAATATATTCACAGAAATCGAATCACATGAAAACGAATGTTGAGAAGCAAACCATCGGTAGCACTCTGAAATTTTAAAAGCATTATTGTTCCTGCAATTATCGTTTTAAAAAATAATGGAAAAAAATAGTTAGCCATCCCTATATTCAACCCTAAATCCGCTATTAACGGGATGTTAATTATTAAAATCGCTCTTTTTAATAAAAAACGACTGCCAAGTAAGGTCAGTATAGTTTTCTAACCGTTTTCATTTGCTAAAAAATATCTTTTTTAACTGTAAAAACAGGGTCTATAATTTTTGTATCAGAATAAAATCTGTAAAAGAAGCTGTTTTCGATGATTCAGTAATCTCTCAACATACACGGGATTGGTAGTCACGAGTTTTGTTTATCAGCAAACACTAAACTGCGAGTTGATGATTCATAGTTTAAAAAAAATAATTCCAGTCCATACTGAATATGATTATCGCTACTGTTAGTGCAAAAGGTCGTAGTAAAAATTGAATGTTTTACAGGAGATCATAATAACTGATTATTTCTTTATGATTTTTTAGTACAATTTTATGTTTGCTTCCCCTCTGCTATTTTGCAGATAAGTAGACTGCTTATATCAATTGCAGACTAAATAATGTCAAAAATAGAATACAAATTTAAAACTTTTACATACGACCTATGTAGTGATATATACTTAATAAACATGTTTTCACTCGTAAAATGGATGGAACAAAAAATCCATAGGAATAAATAAACTTCAAATAAACAATGGCGTTACAAAAAATAAAAGCGTTTGCGGACATACCTTCATATGATTTTTTTTCTTGTTTTGAGGTCCTTAATGCATATTTTCAGTTTGGCTACTTAACCATGAAATACCCTGTATATATTTTTTTTCTAAAATAGAATAAAATGATAGAATAAAGACTATGTATATGATAGACTGTTTATAAAGTATTATATGTTTTATAATGATATATTTTAAAGATAAATAACTAAATTACATTTTGTTTGCAGAATCTTACAATTTGCTCGAGAGGCCTAAACGTTGAATAATAAATACATAAAGTGAAAACGTTTATTATTGGTGATTTTTGGTCTAATACTTTTTAAAACAACAATCTATTTATTTACTTTATGTGTTTATTAGCAATCTAATTATTTCAAAAATTAGAAGAAAAAAAATATGGCTACTGTTGCCATTAATCAATTATATATTATAATTTTCTGCTTATAGGCAGATAAAATGATTGAAAAACATCTTAATTATTTGATAAATGAATTTTTTTTAGGGTATCAAAAGTGTGGAATTGCTCCAGTACTACCCATACCTCCAGTACGTCGACTTGGCTAACAATAACATTGAAGATCTCTCTCCTCTGTGGAACATTAAGCACTTGGTCGTGTTAGATCTCTCTAAAAATAACTTGACTGACGGATCTATAGGGAAGCCGGATCAGATTGGATTTCTGACTTACCTCAACTTGTCTCACAATAAGTTCAATAAAATACCAGACTTCTCTAAGTGTTGGGCTATTAAGCATTTTGATTTAGCTCACAACCGGATCGAATGGATTGACCATTTAAGCGAATTTAAGTGAGGATTATTTTGTTTTGATTTCTTAACTTTGGAAATTGTAATTATAATGGATAGTAGACTTTAAGAATCGATTTAAGAATAAACCATATCTGTATTAATTTTCAACAGCGCCGAAATATTGGAAGGGAACCTCTTGACACTCATCTTTAAGAAATCAATATCATTGTTAAAATTATCTATACGAAAGGCTCTGTTGGTTTAAATACTCCCAACCGGGAGTAAAGCATTTTCGTTGTTGTATCAAGCCGCATATAAATTATTATTATTATTATTTTTATGTAAATCCTTGATTCGAATTTTTAGTTATTGATTAGCTGTTTGAACATATAAATGGACATAAGTTATAGCAGGGGTCTCTAAACTACGTCCCGCCATCACCTCTAGTCTGGCCCGCGGAAACTTCTTTGAATACTTGAGAAGATTTTAAAAACTATGTAAAAATATAAAATTTACTAAATCACTAAAACAACATCTTGCATGAGGGGCCATTCCATGGCAAATCAACCAAGACCTGACCCAGAGGGTCTTGGATTTTGATCATTTTTTTGGTTTTTTGTTGAATACATTAATATAAAGAAAAATAAAAAAATCGATTTTTTGGACTTACGGTTTTGGAGTTAAATTTTTTTAAATAATAAAAAACCTCAAAAAAACGCACCACTTTTTTATTTTATTTACGCATTGTAAAATGGTTTTAGGCTATTTCTTAAGAACTATTTCACCTAGAAAGCTAAAACCAGTGTCATTTTTTTCGGTTGTTTATGCTCTTTCTTTTTATATAATACGTGATTATGTTCTAAAAATATAATAATTTTCCAAGAAAAATGCCTTATAATCTTACTCTTTTAATTTTTCTGTTGAGATGTCTTGTAAATTTTAAATGTCTGTTAAAGTGTACATCAAGATATGCAAAATTTGTCGATAATTTAATACTTTTATTTTTAATTCTGAATTCACATGAAATTTTCTTTTTTTACTGAAAGACTGCGGATGGGAGGACATATACATTACCCAGTGAAGAAATAAATCAATCAACCATCATTTTAAAAAACATCATAAAATATATAGACAAAATAACAGACATTTGAACAGTGATTTGTAAATATTATATTTAATTTTTTGCATTTCTTTGAATAAACTTACACGTTAGGAACCTTTAAAGATAAATATATATATTAATAAATTTATATTAAAAAATGTCTATATTTTAATATTGGTGACCTTAACGGCATTTTTAGTGTATCTAAAGTGTATAGGTCATAATTTTTTATCTTGTGAATCCATTGTTTCTCCACTCTGAAATTTTGCACACCTTTAGCAGCCTTATAATTTTTTAATAAAAATCAAACGGTTTTAATTTTTTCAAAATTCAGAAATAGAGGTTTTGGTTTTCTTGGAAAAATATTATGTTTTTAGAATATAGTCACATGACACCGGTTTCAGTTTTCTAGGACAAATAGTTCTTCAGAAATAATCCAAAACCTATTAAGAAAACATAACGTTTTTCAATTTTTTTATTATTTAAAAAAATGTATAATTAAAAAACCATAAGTCCAAAAAAATCCAAAATTTTGTGTTTTTCTTTATATTAATGCTTTAAATTAACCAAAATCCAAGACCCTCTCGGTCAGGCCCCGGTTGATTTGACATGGAATGACTCTGAGTTGTTTCTCATAGAGAGCTCAAGTCACAATTGAAGTGGCATTTATAGATCAAACTTTTTTTTTTTTTCACCATATTCCATGGGACTTATTGGAGCTCTTAATGCGGACCGCGGGACTTAGTGAAGGTCTCAATGAGGCCCGAGGGTCAAAAAGTTTGGAGACCCCTGAATTATAGCAATGAAAATGTGTTATTTATTAATAAATAATGAAATTTCTATGCTCGCTAATGCGGAATTTAAACATCGCCTGAATTTGTACTATTTAATTCTTCATTTCATGTTAAAATCATTTTAAAAAATATGTAGAATTTTGGAAATGAAATAAAAAGATCTAAAACAAATGACCAAGGAGGGCTAAATAACGTTCAAGGTATTTCTCACTATTTCTGGTTGAAAGTGATTTGGATTGAACAATTCGATTGGAACAGTAGCGTTAGCGTTGAAGTTTTTGGGCCCTCCATGATATATACTCAGAATTGGAAGATATGATGGATGCATGTTTTATATAATTATATAATGCTAGTTATTAATGATGCTACTGTATAGGGAATCATATAAGAACCTTAATTTCTAAAATCCAGAAAAAAACAGATTTCTTATTAATCATAACTAAAATATAAATATAATATTAAATAATTGGCAATTGAAAACTTCATAAGAATGCGATTATTTAATCTGAAACGGTTATCTGACGAAGTTTGAACTAATTAAGAAATATATTATTCATAAATATTAAGGAATAAAACGAAAGTTGATAGAAAGAGGCTAATGTTTAATTTTTATACATATAAGATACATGTATAATCTCTCGTTCTTATTTACGCTTCCGATACGTTAGTTCAAACTTCGTCAGATAACCGTTGGAGATGACGCAACTATACATCCCTTCTATCCTCCTCCATCCTTCAATAACACGAGCATTGCATCTTTACCTTAGGAGCAGTCAGGTTGTTATCATTTCTCTTACTTGTTCTCTTTCTTATTTCAACCTTCTCAGTTTCTCTCCTCCTTCCTTCCATTCCTTTTCTCTGTTTTTAACTCTTTATTATTTCATACTTTGTCTGTACATATAGATAGACTTTACAACATCTCAATTTTCTATATAAATATTCTATTCACTATATCTTAATTTTACTATTTATTTCCATTTCTTATATAACTTCATATTTTTCTGTTTTACATTTTATTCTAAGATTCCCTTTACAATACTTATGTCACCTTTTTTGACTATGTTTACTTCATCATTCCACACATTGCACCTGTTATTATTATTTGTCTCTTGTTCTTACTATTGTCATTATTCTAACAACTTCATTTTACTGTAATTTTTATATTTCTCATACCTTGTTATCTGGTTCTTTTCTTAGCCCTGATGATGGCCTGAACTTCAGGTCGAAACGTCGGCATATGTAAAAATAAATATTATCATTTATTTTTGCTTTCTTTTTTGACTGACCACCCCAACTATTCTTCTCTTCATTAAATATATTGATATATTGCCCTATCGATTCATAATAGTAAAATAATAAGAATTTTTCCTTTATATCCTCTTGATTTCCAGTTGTATTAGGGTTATTTTCATGTAAAGAGGTTTTTTTATATTTTGGTTATTTGAGTTATTTTTTAACTATCCGTTTCGTATTGTAGAGCTCAGCGAATTAAGTTAATGTGGGCCACTAATGTTTAATTTCTATTGCTTGATACAACTTAAAAATATACATAAAAATTAGAAAACTTCTGTTACGTTGCTCTCCTAAAGCTGAGTAGCTGTTTTAGATCTGACAGAAATCTTGAAAATGAAAATATATGAAGTCTGGTACCCACAAATTATTTGTAAATATTCATTAGTCGAAACTTGTGAAAATGCGTTATGCCTGAGAGGTTTTTCATTAGTTTCCTCTTTTTTGATAACAAATTTGATTTGGAACTATAAAAGTATTTGAAAATTGGGGAATTTGGGAGTTTTAAAGAGAGAGAATATATGTTATAGTTGGTGAACGTCCAATTCGGTTCCCCGATGAAGTTCCTATACTAAATGGAATCACTCACAATTCAGTTATAAAGAGATAAATTAAGTACACTAAATTGGCATTGTTTTAACACTGAGGAATTTTATGAGATTTTAAAAATGCCACTTAATATGAAAATATCCTCTTAGCAAAGGAACCACTTCACACCTAACTATTAATCATAAATAATTTTAGTTAGGTATAAGTGTTTTTTTTTTTTTACAGGTATCTTTCTTACTTAAATCTTTCGCACAACAGACTCGAATTCATTGAAAGTCTTGACAACAAGTTGTTGATGGAAATAAATGTTTCTCATAACTCTATCGGCCGTTGGGAAAATCCTGATCCTAAGGCGATTCACAGCCTGGAGAACATTAACATCTCCCACAACCAGCTACCTACTCTCACAATATTCGCTGTAAGTTCTGTAATAATGTAACTGTCATTACTATATAAAAAAATAAATAAATCTGCCTACCTTTCTTTATTCTCTGGAGTTGCCCAGGGATCAAGTATATCTCCACTCCTTTTCAGCTCCTGCATTAACGACCTACATGATTCAATTCTCCATTCTTCCCATCACCTTTTGCAGAAGATTCTCAAATCTACGTATCCTTTCTCCCCGGCAAATGTAAACGGATTAAGGTCAAATGCTTCAAAAACTCACGCCATTGTAATTGGTTCCAAGCCCCCTCTTAGATTATATACCGACTTTCCCATACTAATGATCAGCCAATCTCCTTCTACTCCTCCGTTAAGAATTTAGGATTTTTCATTGATCGAACCTTAACTGGAATCACCATATTTCTCACATCTCCCGACGGATCATTTCTACCCTCAAACTATTCCATCGCTTCCGCCATCTCCTACCTCAACATACGCGTAGACTCCTGGTTTCCTCTCTCATCTTCCTCCACTTTGACTACAGCTGTGTGGTGTATGATCTCCGTGGTAGAATGAAAAGACTAATGAACAGCTGCATAAGATTTGTAATTGGTGCTCCGAAATACTCCCATGTCTCTCACCACTACACTGAGTTAAAGTGTAGTGCTTTTCTCCTCCATTCGAAGATAATATTTCCTAGGTACGTTCCTCTATCAAATCATCAGCAATCATCAGCCTTCTTACGGCTATAGCCTTCTGCAATTAAAATCCTCAGTCCATTCCCTTTCCATAAGATCTCGACCCTCCGATTTGTACACCCCTTCTCACAGATCTGCCTCATTCCAAAACTTTTATTGCTCGCTCTGTTAATTCCCTTCCTATCAAAATTCGGCATCTCCCCTCCATATCTACATTTAAGACCCTCCTATTCCAATTCCTGTCCCAAAACAATCAGATAATCGCTAATCTTTTATGATGTCATATAATTCATCATTTAAATACTGAGACAATTTTTATTATCAGATTCGGCTTTCTTTTCTTTTCCTTCAGAAACACAGAATTTATTTTAAAGAAGAATTTAATGTATTTTTTGTAAAAGTGTATATTTATGTTTTACCACTGTACATAGTTTATGTGCCTTGTCATAGTTTCAAGTGTTTTGTATATAGATTTTTTCTATTTTGTATATTGTAATATTTTCTCTTTCTTTTTATTTTTTTGTTTATATTTAGGCCAGATGTAATATTTTAATTTCCTACTATTCTGAAATTCTAAAGGGACTTTGCTCCAGATTAAATTATTTTCTATTCTATTCCAAAGATATGGATTGGAAGTGACATAAATTATCCCAATCTGATTTATTCATTAGTGCCGTGAATAAACCACTTTTCGCCCATTGATAAATATGGATCAATGGTTGAAAAGTGGAGGATTACTTGAGTTGAGTTGTGGATTACTTCTACTTTTTTCATAACATTGAAGGTTTAATCAAAATCCCTTGATAATGTAAACAATATAATTTTCTTCAGGAAATGTACAATTTGGCCACATTGGACGTGTCTCATAATAACATCAACGCGATGTCCGAGTTCGACGCCCTCAAGACCTTACCAGTTGTGACAAATTTAAAGATTGCTGGCAACAAGATCAGTACGATAATACCAGATCCAAGGAGGCTTATAATATATCTCCTACCGAGTATAAAGATATTAGATGGGGTTCCAATAACTCCCATGGAAAGGGTAAGAATCGAACTTTCGTTTCATACAAACCGTAATATAATCCTTAATAAGTTATTTCACCGCTGTCATGGCGTTATTACAAAACTCAATTTCTAATTCGACCCATTAGTTCTGTTAAGCACAACTCCATTTAGTATATCAGACACCACTAGCGGATTCAAGAGGGGATTTCAGGGCAGAATCCCCCAAAAAGCCCATTTTTTTTCCATTGGTCCACATTTGTTTCTATGAGTAGATGTGGAAAGATAACATTTTTATAAAATTATTTAGGGATTATTTCATTTTTAAAATTACTTTAAAACTTTTTCTGGGTGTTCCTTGCAAATACAGATTTCTTATTACAACCTTCATTAGATTTTCTTTAATTTCTTCTTAAAGTGAATTTTCTTTTAAGGTTATGAAAACTTGCCATATAAATCATTGTCTTATTTAAGGTAGTCACTTTTTTGTTAGAAAAATTTCTAATTAGTTTGTGATTTGATTATATCGAGTTCATTATTAACTATTCTGCTTTAGTAATATCCATAAGGCAGCGTCCCATCATTCATCATATATAATAATTTTACAGGAAAACTTTTTTCATTTTATTTTAATAAATTATTTCTAATTGTCTAAATTTATTTAGTAAAGCGTATATGTACCCTAACTTTTTGTTAGAATTTATTCTAAATAAATAAATGTTTGCTCAGAAAGGGGTTTCATAAAAATCTTTGAAGAAGGTAAATGACGAGGTTTTAAATTTTTAACACATAACGATGGTTTATGAATTTTGGGTTTGGAAAGTTTAAAACCCGAGAACAAAGAGAAAACATGGAGCTGACCGCAGCAAGTGTAATTTTGTATGATCTACGTTTTTTTAAATCACTACCTTCGCTTGCACTATTTTAAATTCCACCTTCGTTTGTACTATTTTTAAGAAGAGGAGAAGAATGAATTTTCTTCGAGGAGAGAGTAGATTAATCCACCATCGACCATGTACGTAACATTAATAACTAAAATTGAATTATTACTATGAAATGATTTTATCTCGTAATTTTTTTTATTTTTTATTTATTCATGATATTTACAACTGTATTAAACAATTAAATACATTAAGTAAATTTGATAACAGAAAATGCTAACATGAAATGACTTGTTGAGAAACTACCCACTGGTAGCACTCTATACTCGTAATATTTAAGGAGTTATTGTTTGTAAGTGTGCTTCGTAACATTGGAGATCAACTACAACCATATTAAGCAATGTACTGGCTGCATGAAATAATTTATTTATATGATATATACAATGAAGGGCATAGATATCTTGCGCTGTGTTGCAGGTTAGCGCAATGACCATGTTTACTAGTAATCCCATGCATCATCGCCAATCTGTGCGTGCTTTATATCAAGTCTGCAGCAAGATCCCGACTGTGGGCTGGGAACAATTTAAGCAGACTGGTGAACATCCTGCTCTTGTAGTGCTCATTGGAGACATTGGGTCATCCAGGAAGATTATTATCAACAGGGTTCAAAGAATGAACCCACATATTGTGAGTCCACTTGAATTCACAACAAAATATTTTTTAATTTTTAACTTTTATGTGATATTTAAAAGAATAAACATTATCCATTGACATGAGATCTTCTAATTCTTGTTTCCTAATAGGTTTTTCTTCTACAAAATTTGGTTTCCCATTGGTGTCCGCAATGTAGAAGTGTTATAGTGTATTTATATTAGTGGCCTTGCTATTATAGATGGGATACCGAAGACCCAATATCGATATTGTCATGAATATTATGAAAAAAATTGAATATTAAAATCAATATAAATAATGATTCTCTAGCACATAGGCACATCAAAAAGGATGTTATTTTCATCTTTAAATTAATTAATAATAATAAAAAGGCTTAGAGAACCCGAAGGTTCGATGCCGACACCACCAATCGCTTATTACACACCTCCCTCCACCGTTCGCCGTCCAAACCCGGTCCCTTCAGATCAGCTTTAATGCAATCTTCCCACCTTCGCTTCGGTCTACCCCTCGGACGCTTACCATTCGGCACAGCAAATATTAACCTTTTAGGAATTCTCTCGTTAGTAAGTCCAACAACTTTACAAGCCCATTTGATTCGCCGCGATGAAATTATCTCAATTATATTACTCGGATACAGTTCACGCAATTCGGCTTAAATTAATTAATGGAAATATAAATTCGTTTCTCCTTCGGATTAAATTAATTTTCTAGTTTCGATCCATCTTGAGCTATTTCCATTCAATCAATTGTGCCTTCCATATACCCATAGATCGGATCCAGCGAAATTCTAATTTATTTCCATACTACATATATTTCTTTGACAATTCGTGGCCTTGGTTTTTGAAGTTTTTAAGAAAAAAAATTTGGGCAAATCGAGTGAACTGAGTAAGAAGGGGCCCACGTTCGCTATTTAAATCTACTTAGGGATGGCCAACGATAATCGATATTATCGAAATATCGATATTTTCCTCTATTGCATACTATATTCTATATGAAACAGGCAAGATGAGTATAATTTGTTTTCTAACAATCAGATTCATATATAATTCCTATCGTTTTCCGAAAATGATAGTTTCAATTTTTATTTTTAGATTAAAATATCGAAGGGACGATATCGAATACTATAGATGGTAAAATACCGAATATCGGAAGGGAAATATCGACTATCGACGGTCATTCCTAATGGCTATTACATAATTTGATTGCAGCTGTAAAACATTTTATTTTGATTTTGATATATATTTACTTAACTTAATATAAATTTGAAACAGAAGTCTTCTTTTGTCCTTGAGGACGCGTGCAGCTTTCTCTTTTTGCAAGAAGGTGAATGAAATAATGTTGATTAATAGTTCGACCTTCAGTAAACAAGTACAGGTCCCTGTACTTGAGTGTTTTCTCCACTATCTCATGAATAGTGACAAAAATAATTATCGTAATTAGATAAAAATAATTGCTTTGATTTTTATTTGCTCATTAGAGCTTTTTTGGCTCTCGCAGTTCATAGATTGATGTTTCTTTTTAAAATAGAAAACCATAATTTGTCAATCTGCCTTAAAAGTAACAAAATTTTAAGTCCGTTGAGGCTGTGAAAGAGAAAGTGATAGGCGTCCTGAAGGAGCTGAAATATGACTTCCATCACAGTTTCGGTCAATGGAAAAATCGCATGGACGATTTTGAGGTTTGAGCAGGGGTTTATACATAACAAATATATAAAATGAAATAAAATCTTTTACAGCATCTCGTCTCGTTATTTAAAAGGCACACCCCATTTGTAGTATATTTATAATAAATTAATCTTCATTCACATTTCCAGTGCAAGGAAGTTAAAATGTTAACAACAAGACCACCAGTAAAAAATGAAGCGACTAACAGCAGAATGAAGAATGTCTCTCTGAAAAAATTTAACAGAATTGAAAGCGAAGGAGGGTTCTTGGTAGTTGAGAGGAGATTGGGGCACAAGTGGGGCGTTGGTATGCCTTCCTTACACCAGTTAACCCTAGTTGACTTAAAACAATAAATAAAAAAAATTTGTTTCAGCGCTCATATAAAGTGGCACTTCCGGTTAGACGTCTTTAACGAAAAAGTTACTGTCACATCCGGCTTATATACAAACCTTAAATACTTAATAACAGTTTCGTACTACTTTTCGTTTATGAGCTAGACTGTTAACACACACACAGACCATTTTGCGACACTTGGTGGTTTTGACTCAGGGGACCTCAAAACATGTATTTCTGTTGAAAACTGAGACTCGAAAATTTTCACGATCGCAATACTTACATATATAGTAAGGGTAAGTATTCACATAATTCAACGCAATCTGCCCTCCTTAAAATAACCCAGATAGATTTTTCCAAAGCATTTGATACAGTTGACCATAACATCCTTCTTACCAAATTGCAAAATCTTCCTCTATCCAACAGTGTCCTACGTTGGTTCAAATCCTTCCTTTCCGATCGATCCCAGTATGTAGTCGTCCCAGATCAACCTCCTTCAAAGACACTTCCCCTCTCCTGTGGTGTCCCTCAGGGTTCCTCCTTGTCTCCTACTCTGTTTGCTATTTACATTAATGACCTTCCCAACCAGATCCATCACTCCCAATACCACATCCATGCAGACCATTTCCAAATATACCTTTCCTTCCCCCCTTCCGACCTATTAGCCGCCACAAAAAAGCTTCAAGAAGATTTAAATAGAATATACGACTGTTCAGGAGTTAACAAGTTGAAGTTGAATGCGGAAAAGACCAAGGCAATCCTAATAGGCTCCAATTACCTCCTCAAAACTGTTCCTAACTTTCCAACCCTCTTTTTACATGATAATCCCATTAAATTTTATCCCACCATCAAAAACCTTGGAATAATCTTCGATCAAACCCTTACTTGGAAAAACCATGTGTCCAATATCTCCCGACGTACCTTTTCCACCCTAAAACACTTAAATAGCCTGCGACACCTTTTTCCTTTTGAAATCCGTAGACTCCTGGTCACCTCGTTAATATTTCCCCATTTCGACTATTGCTGCACGGTATATGGGGGCGTCTCTGGGAATCTCGAGGCGAAACTAAAACGTTTGATAAATTGCTTCGTACGATTCATCTTCGGGATCCCAAGAGACGCTCCTGTTTCCTGTTTCTATGAAGAGTTGAAGTGGCTTTATCCTTCCAACCGCCGTAAGTATTTCCTGGCATCCTTCCTCTTCCAAGTAATTCACTCCCGCCGTCCTTCATACATCGCCGAGCTCCTTTAATTTAAATCCTCTGTCCACTCCCGCAATACCCGTTCCCGGTCCTCATATCTATATATAATGGCCCACCGAACCGCTGCTTTCGATAAATTATTTATTATTCGATCCTCTTCACGGGCGGATCTACGGGGGGGGGGCGCTTTCGGGCTGAAGCCCCCCCCAAAATGGAAAAATATAACCATGTTTTATGGGAAAAAAATTTAAAAAATACCTCTTAAAGTATTATTGTTCGTGTAATTACATTTAGAAGTACTTAAGGAATAACTTAAACACCATTTCATATAGGTAGTTAGTTTCTTTCTGTTTTTCCAAAGTAATTATCGTTATTTTTATGAAAAAAAAAGGTTTCGGGCTGAAGCCCCCCCCCAAAATTAAATCCTGGATCCGCTAGTGATCCTCTTCCCTATGAAACTCCATCCCTACCCATATCCCTCAATCCAAAACCCTTCCTACCTTTAAATCCCAACTGTTTAATCATTTCTTATCCATCCAGTCCTCATCATAAAATTGTAAATAGTTACTACTGTAAATATGTATATAAATTATTAGATCGTTCTTTATTATTTTTACTTCATGTTTATTTTCAATTTTTTATTTTTATTATTAACTGATGTAAATTAGAAAGTAACTTACAATTTCTCTAAATATTTTTTTATTTTTTTTTACTATTTAATCAAACTATACTCTTGTTTATGTATCTCTGAGGCTCCTTAGCCCACATTTTTGTTTCTCTGTATTATTCTAAAGGGACTCGTCCCAGAATAAATAAAGCATTATTATTATTATTATTATTATATACGTAAGTGAAAGTAAAAATCTGGTGCGCGGAACACACAACTTTCACTTACTCTTTGAACTTGGCCCAACTTAATAAACGTCTTATTTATTATATCACCGGTTGATTATGGATTGTACGATTCGTTGATTATGGATTGTACGACTATTAGTTATTAAACGGTTATTTTGCATTTCAAAGTTTATTAAAAAGAAATTAGGAGATTTGCATTGTCTGTCATAGACAGGTCAAAAGTTGTCACACTAATTGTAAGTGGATTCTGTTGGAATATTGTAAAGAGAAAATTTATCAAATTATTCACTAACTTAATTTTCTAAAAGTTTACATGATGATTTTTCGAAATAAAAGGACGATAGATACCTAAATATTTCAATATATTATGAGATCTAGAGTTATTAAACTACAGTAAATATAATAATAATAATAATAATAATGCCTTATTTATTCTGGGACGAGTCCCTTTAGAATAATACAGAGAAACAAAAATATGGGCTAAGGAGCCTCAGAGATACATAAACAAGAGTATAGTTTGATTAAATAGTAAAAAAATAAATAATAAAATAAAAAATATTTAGAGAAATTATAAGTTACTTTCTAATTTACATCAGTTAATAATAAAAATAAAAAATTGAAAATAAACATGAAGTAAAAATAATAAAGAACGATCTAATAATTTATATACATATTTACAGTAGTAACTATTTACAATTTTATGATGAGGACTGGATGGATAAGAAATGATTAAACAGTTGGGATTTAAAGGTAGGAAGGGTTTTGGATTGACGGATGTGGGGAGGGATGGAGTTCCATAGGGAAGAGGATCGAATAATAAATGATTTATCGAAAGCAGCGGTTCGGTGGGCCATTATATATAGATATGAGGACCGGGAACGGGTATTGCGGGAGTGGACAGAGGATTTAAATTGAAGGAGCTCGGCGATGTATGAAGGACGGTGGGAGTGAATTACTTGGAAGAGGAAGGATGCCAGGAAATACTTACGGCGGTTGGAAGTTTAAAGCCACTTCAACTCTTCATAGAAACAGGAAACAGGAGCGTCTCTTGGGATCCCGAAGATGAATCGTACGAAGCAATTTATCAAACGTTTTAGTTTCGCATCGAAATCCCCAGAGACGCCCCCATATACCGTGCAGCAATAGTCGAAATGGGGAAATATTAACGAGGTGACCAGGAGTCTACGGATTTCAAAAGGAAAAAGGTGTCGCAGGCTATTTAAGTGTTTTAGGGTAGAAAAGGTACGTCGGGAGATATTGGACACATGGTTTTTCCAAGTAAGGGTTTGATCGAAGATTATTCCAAGGTTTTTGATGGTGGGACCAATTTAATGGGATTATCATGTAAAAAGAGGGTTGGGAAGTTAGGAACAGTTTTGAGGAGGTAATTGGAGCCTATTAGGACCTTATTTAAGGTTATAATATATTTAAGGTTATAAACTTATCTATGGTATATTTTTATATTTCACTTCTTCTTTCACACAAGTTCAATGAAATAGTAGTGGATACTGTTGGAATATCACAAAGGGAAGATTCATCAAATTATTCACTAATTTAGTTTTCTAAAAAGATACATGACAATATTTCGGAATAAACATTGATATCGAATTATTTAAATATAATATTAGATCTATAATCACTAAACTACAGTAAATGTATTTAAGGTTGTGAACATATGCTTTATTCATCCATGAAATGATTTTATATTTTACTTCTTCTTTCACACAAGTACAATGAAATATTTTTTTTTAACAATGCCATTGCCTTGATTAGGTGGATTCTAAATACTTTATAGAGACGTAAACATATTTTTTAAAGTTTACACTTTGTTAGTAAATTTCATTTTATTTCATTAAATGCATGGGATTTACGTTAAATATTATCAGTTTTCAAAAATTATTATTTGTAATTTTTTCGCCGCTCTCCGTTACCTTCTTTCTATATTAGATATTGTTTTTTTTTCTAAAATTCTCCCTTTTCCAAGGATATATTATAAGTATGCGTTCTGACTTTCCGGAGATTTATTTTCGACCTGTATAATCATTTATATATTTGTTCTCCTTTATTCAATTATCAGATTCTTTCAAAAGTTATATTTAGCATTTTTTCGCTAAATATTTTACAAAACTGTTAATTATTTCACAATGGTTTATTATATCCAAACAATTAAACATCTAAAGTAGCGTTACCTTCCTAGTTACAAAGAAAATAAATAAAAGGTGATTCCAATTAATGGACTAAACTTTTTTTTTATAATCATTAGTAATATGCTAAAAAAATTAGCATTACCTAAGTACCACATTCAAAATTCAAAAACCAAAACAAAGGATAAAACCTTTGCAGCAGAAAATATTTTAAAAAATTAGAGACTATATATTTTCTCCTAATTGTCCTATTTTAACGATTTTTTTTTTGTTTTTTAGCGAATTCCGTAAACTTTAAAAAAACCATCTACAGTCAATAGCAACGCAGGTGTTTCTGCATTTTTATTTTTTTTTTCTCTTTTATTAACTTATCAAGTTCTTTCAAAAGTTATATTTAGCATTTTTTCGTAACTCTAAATAATGTGAAATGTTTAACTTTTTAAAATAAACCATATTAAAGGTACATTAGAGGAAGACGTATATGAACATTGGGCATTTGAGCCCTGTAAAGTGACATCAATGGGCATAAGACCTAATTGATATTAAAGACCACTTAATTATACAATCATACACCGAGTTTAATCAAAATCGTTACAGCCGTTTTTGAGAAAATTGTGAAAATGTGTTTCAGCGTTGATATAAAGTGGCACTTCCGGTTAGCGGATTTTAAGGAAAAAGTTGCATTCACACATGAGGCATATACCTATCTTAAATAGGGTACCTCTCTACAGCTGCTCTGGCTCTAAGATTTTGAGTTATAACTGTTCGATGTGAACCGTCCTTCTTTTTTTCGGTTCTTTAATACTCTCAATGGTCACATCAATGGGCGTATCTGGTATAGGATCGATCGGCAGAGACAGTAGTAGTAACCCTTTAAACGTGGTTCCAGTGTTATGGAATATCCGACTGTATAACGTCCGACGGGATTAAAGAATTTGCTAACGCCAAGATCAGAGCAGAAATAAAGAACTTGGATAACGTGGCATTTTACCACTTGAGGGCACCCCAAGAGTACGGAGAGTATAGAGAGACTGAACAATACTCTCAGCCACCATTTATAAGTATACAAGGAGCAGTAAGTGCTCACGCCGGATCCGACAATGAGGAAGGCGGTGGCAGAGTATAATCGCTCCCACGGGCGCATCTACGGGGGGAAGGGGCTTTCGGGCTGAAGCCCCCCCCAAAATGGAAAAATATAACCATGTTTTATGGGAAAAAAATGTAAAACATACCTCTTAAAGTATTATTGTTCGTGTAATTATATTTAAAAGTACTTAAGGAATAACTTAAACACCATTTCATATAGGTAGTTAGTTTCTTTATTTTTTTCCAAAGTAATTATCGTTATTTTTATGAAAAAAAAAAGGTTTCGGGCTGAAGCCCCCTCCAAAAATAAATCCTGGATCCGCTAGTGATCGCTCCATACATACCGCCATAGGGTTCTCACTATTTGAAATTCTCTTCGGATTACACGGGCGGCAACGGGAGTGTGGGGGTACGGCAGCGGACGAGGAAATGGTAGGGAGAATAATTAACAATAAAATAGAATTGAGCTATGGGAGAACGTTAGGAGGGAAATAAAAAGAAAAAAGCACAAGAGGGTGGCGGTAAAGAATTTAAAAGTTAAAGAAGTGACGGGAGAATTAAAAATCGGGTCTATCATTTATCACAGATTAGACTCTAATAGGGGGAAGGAATTGCGGCGGTGTGGTCCCAAGCGGGCTTAAGCGTTTGCAATGAGAAAGTACTTTTACTTTGAATTATATTGAAGAGGAAGAATTTGAAGGAAGTGATGACAAAATTGTGCTTACCCAGCTCGGCCAAAATTCTAGTTTCGCCCGTGGTATAATTCTCACTGGCATCAAAAAGTACAATGTTGAGTGGTGTTTTCCCTATTCGTAGTACAGTTTTTTTCGTGGCGGACCCACGTAATTAAGTTGATACTTCTCACACTGGCTTGAATAGATGCAACTTGTGGAATGATCCGCCTTATTTCAAGTACTTAAATGCGACAAACCCATTGAACAGCAGCAAAGGGGATTACTGAATACAGTATTGGAACCATTGAATCGATTTTGATGCATTGAATCCTGAACTAGTGAAAAATAAATATCGTTGTCAAAATTAGTTCGAAAAACTTCTTTTTTAATAAATATTTTTAAATTATTCACTAATCTCATATTCATCACAATTTATTTACTTATTCATAATGTTAAATCTAAAGTAATAAATGTTTAATTTTGAATAGTGAACTACGTAATTAAAAAAAAAATTGAATAATGTTGAATTTCATATTAATTCTGTCAACTTTGTTATCTTTTGACAAGCTGTAAGTGAGCTCGAGGATAAGAACAGAGTCTTGTTGGCTTTCATGGGTATGAAGGGCTCTCTGGAAATACTCTGGAAGGGATTCAACCCAACCCTCATCATTATGGTTCCCAACCAGGAGGAAGTCCTTACGAAAAGGTGTATGAAATGGTTCTTATCTTCGGACGTTTACAGGACCATGTTCAAAGTCAGGAGAGGTAAAGACGATATTATTTTATTCGTTATTTCAAAAGAAAAGCAGGGAAGGTAGAATTGTTTTATACCTAAAATTACCGCTCTAGATTTAAGATTAGTCTACCGTACCAACTATAGAAATAGACAGCATATTTTAGATAATTTATATAGCTATTGTTAGTACAAAAGTTCGTATGAAAAAGTTGACTTATTTTTACCGAAGAAATCGATCATTTCTATATGATGTATCAGTAAAATTTCATATTTTATTTCTCTCTGTTATTTTTACAAACTGAAAGGAAAAGGCTAAGGGTAGGGACATCTGGAGAGCTGTTGTTTAGGAAGCCAAGGCCCACCCCGGGCTGCAGAGCTATCGAGGAAGAAGAAGAGTCCGTATAATTGGCCGCATCGTCGGTTAAGTACTTTTCTATTGCCTGTATATGGGTACCCCGTTAGCCTTCAATCTAAAAGCCATGATGGACTGTATCTGCGAAATGAAGCGGTAAGAAGTTTAAATGAATTGACATGATCTTCGGAGAGCGAAAATGACGTGTTTGCATTTAGATTCATTTAATTTAACACAACTATTACACCAATGTTCGATTAGGGACTGGGTTGAAGGAACTCAGTTGGATGATAGGATGGTGGTGTCATCAGCAAATTTTGCTAGGAAGGTATGGGAATGGAAACAGATATTAGCGGTAAAGAGGATATAAAGGACCCAAAACACCACCTTGAGGTAAAAACGGAGAACTAGAACTGGGATCTTCTAACCACCTTCTTCTCGGCCTTCTCCTTCCGCTGAAACCATAAATTTCTTCTTGAAGCAGTTTTTTTTGGGAATTATCTCATCTGGCATTCTAACAACGTGTCCCAGCCATTCGATCCGCCGGAATTTTATAAAGCTCACAATTTCATTATGATTGAATATAGTTCCTTATTGGTACGGATTTTTTTTTGTTTAAGTTGTTTCATCGTACAAGGGACCATAGAGATTTCTCATAATTTTCCTCTCGAAGACCCTTAACGAATTTGGCATGGTGGCAGTAATCGTCCATGTTTCAACCTTCAGCCGTGTAAGTAAGTATAGGTCTTATTAAGGTAGTGTATAACCTTATTTTCGTTTTCCTTGATATCAAGGATGATATTTAAAACTTTAAATTCGCGAAATGTGCACAGTTAGACTGTAAAGAGTCGCTCTTTGAGTTTGATTGTAACCATATAATGGTCGGTGTCACAATCAGGACCGCGTGCAGATTTAAATTGTATTATTGAGGAGCTCTGTCTTTTAGAAATAAAGACTATTTGAGTAATGGCGCCATTAAGCACCTTCACAGGCGGATCTAGGGGGGAGGAGCTTTCGGGCTGAAGCCCCTCCCCAAAATGGTAAAATATGACCATGTTATTAAAAACTATCTCTTAAAGTATTATTGTTCGTGCAATTACATTTAATAGAACTTCAAGAATCACTTAAGCAGTATTTCATACAGGTAGTTAATTTCTTTCATTTAAAAAAAAAAAAAATACTCATCGTTATATATATATATATATATATATATATATATATATATATATATATATATATATATATATATATATATATATATATATGAAAAAAAAGCTTTTGGGCTGAAGCTCCCTCCTCCCTCCCAAAAAAAATGTATTCCTGCATCCGCTAGTGAGTACCTTCCAAGTCCCTTTATAGATGTCCTTATGAGGGCATGAGGAATTGAGTACCGGCAACAGTTTTAATAATTTTCTTTTCCAATTTTGGCATTCAAATGTCTCATTACTATTTTGGTATCATACATTGGGTTATTCTGTTGAGGTCTTTCAAGTTTTTGGTAGAATTCGATCTTTTCATCTTCATTACTATCTTTTGTGAAGGCATATGCCGATATAACAGTGATGTTTCTAAATTTCCCTTTAAGTCGAATTTTACACATTCTATCACTAATAAGATCAAATAACAGAAGGGCATTTCTTAATCGCTTTGAAATTAGAAATCCTGTCCCATTTCTGCTGGTTCTTTTTTATGCTACGCTGTACAGTAAGGATATTCTGTTTTGTCTATCCTTCCTTGGCCGCTTCATCTTATTTTCTGTGGAGCTACTACGTCTACTTTGAATTTTATAATTTGTTCTGCCATTTTCCCTGGCTATAGCTATATTCTTACATTACTAGAAAATCTCGACTTTCAATTGACAACAAATTACGAATCTACATGAAACCCATCTGTACCTACGGAATTGAACAGTGGGGAACCACTGAATTTTCTATTATCAAACATATCTAATCCTTCGAGCAATAGTAAATGCTCCATTGTATGTAACGAGTGGAATCATACACCATTTATCCTAGACCTTACGTATTACCCAAATTCACTTCACAATTCTTATCTAGCACCACCTATCCCTAAGCTCCTAAAAGAAGATGAAACGGCTGTGTCGCGACATTTTGTAAGAAGTATATATTGGTGTTCTGGCAAGGGCCTTTAAGTTATTTTATATACTTATTATTATTTTGCGTGTTTTCTTTAGTTTATTTATATTTTCTGTATATGTATTGTGAATGTATTACTTATTCGCAAAATAAAATTCAATGGTTCCAAAAAATTTTACTTGGTAAATTATGATATGGTTAAAGTTTATATATAACTAATAAATAGAAACCATACCATTTATTTAGATTAAAAGTTAACGGCTGTGACCATTAAAACGTAACAAAATTTTTATTTCAATTTATTAGTGTTATGAGGGAAGTATTAAATTTAAAAGGAAGCATTCTCAGAACTGTTAAGTCTTGATCTGTACAAGATAAGTTACCTGCACTGTGGATCATTAGATTTAGCAGTTCTTAAAATGATTTATGAAGGGTATAGTTTATGTTATTTATATTTAATAGATTAATTTATAAAGTTCTTTTGTTGAATAATTTAATGACCTTTAAATTTAAATATAATATTTCATTTGCTTGTAGTGTAGTGTCTCGGCTCTCCTATTAGCCAACAATTCTGATTAATATTTAATTAATAATGATTTAATGTAAAATATTTTGTTTTATCTTCATCTGCGCCATTAGTATAACTTACTTTAAATATTAGCTCTCCCCTTCAGCGAATATCACATACCAAAGAGACAAGCTGGTTAATAGGATAGGGTTTAGCTATATATTAATTGCTTGACTTTGAACTAGTCATCAGTCATCATTAGTGCTCAATATTTACTGTTCATTAAATTTTAAATTGGTATTAGTTTCTTACATTGTTTCCAATTTCTTGTTAAATTTTATACTAATCGTTTGCTAAACTTCAAATACATCAATTGCAACCAACAATTGAATCTCACAAGTGCATTGCGGATTCATTATCTCAAGCAAAAGTAACAAGTAATAATAAGAAAATAAATATGAAAAAATTAATTATGTCCTTTTTTTTTTTTTTTTTATGATTTTTGTTTTAAGATTCTAGAACGATTAATATTTTTCCTCTATCTTCATAAACGACAGAAATACGAGCAAATAAAACCTTTGATTCTTAAACCTAATTTGTATTAAAACAAATAAGACATATATTAATCTTGTAATCAAGGTTCTGAGGATCATCCTGGGATGGATGATCTATGCCTTCATTGCCAAATCTTTAATAAAAAAAAATCTACTAATCATGGAGCAAAGTCATAGACTGAGATCTTATAAATATATATTAATGCATATTTTTGATTATATGTATTTTAATAAAAAGGCGGATGGTAATATTAAGTTCCAATGATCATTCTAGGGTGATCTATAATTTTTTTTACACCAAACCAATAAAACTTTTTTAAAAATAAAAATAAAGACCAACCGAGGAGTCTCGGAGAGAAACCATGTAAAACAAATTTTTTATTCAGCTAATCATGAATCTTTAATTGCGGTTTTACAATTATCATTCTTATTTTATCGTACACTTAATGAAACAAATTAAGCTCTGAATTTCAAATAATACAAAAAATAATAGTTTAGTAGATGTTGCATTATTCCATTCACAAACATTTAATAATTAATTTTTGTTTTTTAGTGACAAAGCGGAAAAAAAGGGAAGGATCCATACAGGTATGATAGTTTTTATTTTTCTATCAGAATCTAAATTACACTTTTCTTATCTGAAAAAGAGATTTTTACATTGAATTATGCATTAAGCAGATTATTTGTAAAATACAAAGGTGGCCATTGTATAGTTGATACCATGGTAACTATAACTGTAAGATCGATTACAACCAATAAAATATGTTCTTTATTTATAGGGTGAAGATGATTATGAGGATGACGAATATGGAAGTTCACTTAGGAGGTTTGTGATTCTTCAAATCAATAATAAACAGTAAAACTTCTATTAATCACACTCGTTGATCGGTCACACTAGGTCAAATGACAATACAGTGGAAACCAAAAAAATGTTGGGTTTAAGTCCATCACTCTTTAGTCAAACTGGTGCTGGTTTAATCCAGCCTAGGTAGCTTCACTAATTTTTTGGCAGATCCTAAAATAAATTTTGTCCTTCAGAGAGACTAAATATAAAGTTAGATCACATGAACAAGTTAAATCAAAACAATAAATAGTTTTCAGACTTAATTTAAATATTCTAGAAACCAATTAATCAGAAGACCATAACCCTCTGCTCTTGGACATCTGACATCAAATGACCTCACCGGTCCCTCCCATGGAATAAGTTAAACCCAACTATGGAATAAGTGAGCCACGGAATTTTTTTTTATATAGGCAATAAATGGAATAAGTTGAACCTAACTATAGAATAAGTGAGCCACGGACTTTTTTTTTATATAGGCAATAAAGATTTGAAAATTATTTATTTTTGTACTATCATTTGATAATAAGGGACATATAAACGAACAGATGAGCTCGTGGTGGAGCAGAATTACCAATACTGCAAAGATCTTGGGTACGGGTGAAAAGCTTGTCCCAGCCAGGGTTAGCCAGAAGAGTTTCATGGAGGAAATTACACACTTCAATCTGGTAAGAAGACGAACGCTCATGGAAGGCCGCTATATTGAGCCAAAGCAGATGACCTGAAGACCTGAACCGTAGACAAACTTTGAATTTAGTGAAAAGTTTTTTTTTTTATATATATATATACATGTTCAATAGAAGAGATGGCATATATATGTTTGTTTGATATGACAGCAATGCAAAACTCCTGTAGCCGAAAGGCATGGTAGAGTAGAATATATATATAAGAACATTAACCATTTATAAAAAAATAAAATAAATTTAATCTTTTTTTTTTTTTTTTAGGAAATCTTCAGTCCCCATAAGAAAATCAGTGAAATTGATTAAATGCAAATCGATGTTTACTAGTTCAAGCAAAAAGGTACTATATTAAAGGATATTATCAATAATTTAGAAACCATAAGAATATCAAATAACTTCAACTTCAGAAGTTTTTTTTTCATGTTATAAATATGAAATTTCACATGACTTTTAGAACTGGAAGATCACAAAGTATACAGAAAACCTTGGACTAAACAAAAAACTTTTAGAAGAGTAAGTATTTACGATATTCCTTATTTTTATACACTGACAGGCAAAAAATTCCACTCACTTGATTTTTTCATCTTTTCATCTAAAAATATTTCTGCCACTTGTAAAAAAAGTTGTATTTGTATATAATACATGGTATTTGTAGATAATATTTAGTATTTATTGAATTTTATAATCTTTATTACCTTTAATAATCAAAATGTGATTGGGTAAGAAAGATTAGAGAAAAAAAAATTGAAAAACGAACCATTATTATTCTAAAAGAAATTAATTACATCATCGTTTAGTAGCGTGTGTTTCCTCCTCTTGCCTTCACTACTTCTTGAAGACGCCTCGGCATACTTTCCAGCAGTCGGGGAATGTCCCTTTGCTGGAGGATAGCCCATTCCTCCCGAAGAGCCCTTTCAAGGTCCTGCAGTGTATCAGGAAGTGTTGCACACGCTCTTATTCGTCTTCCGAGGTTATCCCATAAATGCTCAATGGGGTTCAAATCTGGAGAACGTGCTGGCCAGGCTAAAACCTCAATATTGTTCTGTTGAAGGAACGTCTGCACTATGCGGGCGACATGTGGGCGTGTATTAGAATAGAACGATCGCCGATTTCGTTGAGGATAGGCAACACATGAGGTTCCAAAATCTCATCTACATAGCGAATGGCCGTCAAAGACCCTCCACGAACAACAACCAATTCTTTGCGGCGCTCCATTGAAATCCCAGCCCACACCATTAATGAACCACGTTGGAAAGGTTGGCTCTGGGAAAAATTACAGGCTGCATATCTTTCGTTTCTTCTTCTCCACACCCTTTCACGCCCGTCTGGAGATCGAAGAGCGAATCTTGACTCATCTGTAAAAAGTACAGCACTCCATTCGTCCATAGTCCAATGGCTGTGTTCTTGAGCAAAAGCCAGCCATGTACTGTGAGTTCTGGTCAACTCTGGTCCTCTTACTGGACGAAAAGCCATTAATCCATACTCATTTAATCTTCTCCGAGCGGTATGTTCAGAAATTTGCACACCTCGAACTTCTTCGAGCTGATGAATCGCTTGAACAACGGTAAGGTGCCGGATTCGTAAAATTCTCAAAGTCAAAAACCGGTCATCCTGTGGCTCTGTTACCCTAGGTCGTCCAGAACCGGCCTTCTATTGTAAGAACCAGTTTCCTGAAAACGCCTGACGGCGTCTCGTAAAGTTTCATATGGAATTCCGATGGCATTAGCTGCATATCTAATGGAACGTCCATCATCAATAAGTGCCACACCACTAAGAGGCATTTTTAAACTTAATATTGAAAAAATTAAAATCCAGAGACTAAGAAATGGCACTAAACTAATGATACTGAATAAACATTTTGATTCCATAGGAAGTAAACATTGGACTCTAGAATCATTTCATTGAATTAAGGATTAAGGGTTATTGTCCTCTATATTAACATTCCTAATTGGAAACAAACAAAAAGATTACCTATTTATTCATTAAAAACAATAGACCAATCCTAAGCAAAAATATTTTTAGATGAAAACATGAAAAAATCAAGTGGGTGGAATTTTTTCCTGTCAGTGTATATTATTTCTGAAAGGTAGTTTTTGTTGGTGCGCCATATCTCCATACTTCGAAAACGTTTGAGCTATCATAGTCAAGATTACCTTAATTTGTAATGCCTAAAAACAAGTACATCCCAAAATAAAAGCAGAGATGAAACTTAATTAACAAAGCCAAAAAAAAAATTCACAGAATCTAATAATATCAATCAGGGGTCTCTAAACTTTTGGGTATGCGGGCTACATTGAGAGCTCCAATAAGTCCTATTGGCTACATTCAGACTTCTACTAAGTCTCGCAGACCATCGCTTGTGATGAAAAACAAGCTTACTCTACAAACGAGACTTCAGGTGTGAAATGCGCTTTGCAATGAAACAACTTATGTACTAAATGTTGTAGTAACCTCGCGTTCGAGTGATTTCATATTTTTAAAATTTTACCATGTAATCAAAGATACTTTCGTCGCTCATAGTTTGGAGTCCACTACTATCAGTCATGAAATTGACCAACAAATATTGTCCCTGGCTCGTTTCCCAATTTTTATTAAAAAATCTACTTCATCATCCTCACCCCTTTTATTTTGTTGACTACTCCTAATTTTTTTAGCCCTTTAATTATTTATTAATTGCCAGTGTAAAACAAATTATTTTTTTCTTGCATTCCTGCAGCAACTGAAGAAGAATCGACTGAGTTCTGCATTTCTATTTTTTCTTTTCCTCTAATATGTTATAAACCTTTTTATCTTATTCATTTCAATTTTTGTCTCTTCCTTTTTATTTAATGCTTTCCATTTTATTCTCCTTAACATCTTTTTGTTTCCTCACTTATAATAATAATAATCATAATGTTTTATTTATTCTGGGACGAGTCCCTTTAGAATAATACAGAAAAACAAACAAAAAAACAAAAATATAGTGTAGGTGAATAGTCAAATTAAAAAAAATAATAAAAGAAATTATAAGTTACTTTCTAATTTAAATCAGTTAATAATAAAAAAAAAAAAATGAAAAATTTTAAATAAACATAAAGTAAGAATAATGAAGAATGATCTGATAATCATATACATATTTAAAATTTTATGGGGACTGGATGGATAAGAAATGATTGAACAGGCGGGTTTTAAAGCTAGGAAGAGTTTTGGATTGACAGATGTCGGGAGGGATGGAGTTCCATAGGGATGAGGATAGGATAATGAAAGATCTGTCGAAAGCAGAAGTTCGGTGGGCCATTATGTATAAATCAGAAGACAGGGGACGGGTATTGCGGGAACGAACAGAAGATTTGAATTGAAGGAGCTCGGAGATGTATGAAGGACGGTGGGATTGGATGACTTGAAATTATATGATCAATTGCTGATCTTACTTTTGATTAGATTTATACATATTTTTAATGGTGTTATTAAAAATATTATTTCTGTACTACACATGCTAATATTAAAAAAATTGTTTGGTCATTGACGACTATCTTCACTTATTACGTACTTTTTTCTTCTACATTCTATTTTAATTTTATAATTTAAATAGAATATATTAATTTTTCTTATATTCTCCCATATATGTAATCCCACTATATTTATTCTTCTTATTTTCATTATTCGTGTATCGTGTTTTTTATTCTTGATAAAGCCCTATATCTTGGGGAGAATGTTGACATTTAACAATATATTTCATTACTATAATGATAAAGGGTTATTATACCACAATGTCATAATGTGTGTGATAAAACTGATATGATATTTTCCTAAACAGATCCTCAAATTGTTTGTATAGTAAATATAATAAAAATAATAGTCAAGTTCAGAACATTATGTTCATATATATATATATATATATGAATAATCAATTATAATTTTTTTTTTGTAAATTGAATGTTTTAGATGCTATGGGAAATACATTTCGGGAAATCCAAGAAACATGAGAGGTATTTCGCATGATAAGCGTTCTTCTGACCGTGTTTTTTTTAAAGATTTTGACAACATTCGGGATAAGGGTTCTAGCTCGCAAGTAAGTACCATCCTTACATACATGAATAAATGGAATCATATGGAGTGGCGTTCGAACTATCTCGTGGTGTAGATATCAACAAATATAAGTTAAAATAATCTTCTATTATGTTCTAAATAATTGTTTTCAAATCATCTTAGTATTAATTTCTTAAAATAGATTGCGCTGGCATTGTTTTGGAATTGACACACCAGCATGAGGTAGAAATAATCGATATAACATTATTGGCCTTTATTTAAATTTTGAAATACAAAGAGTAAATAAAATTACAAGGTATAAAAACAATTTTGTTAAATTAACATTATTATAACGAGTTCACAAAAATAAATAAAAAAATTGATTGTATATTCATTAAATTTTGGGCCTACTTTTTATTACATAGTGTTCTTAATAAGCATTATCATTTTTAAAACATACACATTATACGTTAGTAACACTGTTTCTATTTTATAGGCATTAGGATCAGGGAGAGGAAGCGAATTCAGTGTAAGTTTTTAACATTGTTTTTATTTTTCCATTATTTTCTGCAATTGATTAATTATGTTTTTATAGGTTAATCATAATTACCATAAATAATTATGTAGTGCATTTTATGGGCTACGATTTCAGTTCTAATGAAGATCTTTACTATCAAGATAAAAGGTCTTTCAAAAATCAACATTTTCAGTTATTTTAAAAACACTAGAAAGCACCATTTTATCAAATATCATAAAAAAAAAAATGTTAAAACAAAAATAATAAGAATAACATGAGAGGTATGATATAGATTCTTATTTTCAGTTCCTGTCTCTGGTCTCAGTATCTTTCCTCACATTGTAGAGTTGCAGTGTGTATATTTCCTTGAATATATTTATAGATTAAGGCTTGAATAGTGGATAAAGGAATATAAATCCGTGGAGACATATTACCGATTCATAACATAATGATCAATTTACCATTTATTTGCTAAATTTTAATAATAAAGTAGAAATATAATCACTAAATACTGAATACAAAATTTTAAGGAAGGTTTCATTTTTTAAAATAAAAGTTTCTTAGATTATATTACTGTATCGTACTTTTTTAATGTCTTAGTTGTCAGATGAGAATGAATTAAGACGCTTCGTTCAATATATTTTCCAAAATCAAATGAGTTACAGAATGATGCATCTTAGAAACCCAGGTCTTTTCCAGTTATTCGTAAGTATTAGGCACTTTGTTAATAAGTATTTTAAAGTATTATATAAATTTAATTGTAGTTATTAATGTTGAATATTTATTATAATATATATCTAATAATTAATTGTAAGAATGATCACTTTCAAAGTTGTAATTTATATTGTATTTTTTTAAATAATCATAATTGTTTTACATGCTGCAGATAGATGAGTTTTTAATTCAATAGTTTTATTATTGCTTTCTTAAATATATGAATATTTAAAAATTTAACAAGAGTTTATAGAAATAAAATTCAAAAATAATAATTATAATATCGTAGATGTATAATAATAATTCATTTATGGGTATAATACCATTACTATTGTTTTGATTAATCTCTTTCTTTGTGAGTAAAAACAAAAATGAACGAAATTGTTGGTAACAATGCATTTAACTTATAATAAGTAATAATATTAATTAGTCATAATATTTTATAACTAAGTGTAATCCATATGGCTTCTAATTAATTTCAAAATATGTTTATTTAATATAAGAAAACCTGCCCTAGGGCATCCGCCCCAATGATGATTAGGACCCGAATCTCAAAAGCAAGAAATAACGTTCCACTCAACGTCACTGTCAAAGCTACAAGATGACGCAGTTCGTATTTTTTTGACTGAATACATGCTAAAATCATGAGTATGAACCAAGTTGTAACACTCAACAATAGATGGAATGCATGTAAAATGACAGAAACAGCAAAGACAATCCTTTCGACTGAAAAAAGACAATCTTGATTTTATGAGAATTCAAGCTACTAAACCAAAGAAAAAATCAAGCATAAAAAACAATGGTTCAGAAGAAATACACCAGGAGATATTTGAATGAGTATCGAGCCATAAGAAGAAGGAAAACTTACATCTGCAAATGTAAAAAAACAGCAATGGGAATGTAAAATTCTTACTGAAATTACCAATAAAAGAGTAGTAGAAATCTCTTTAAAAAATCAGCGAGAGGCGTCAGACATATAAACCTTCAAACAATGTCTGCAAGAATAAAGATGGCTCTTTATTAACAGAATAATTTGTTGTTATAGATCATTAGGTGGACCACTTTGAGGAAATGATGAGTGGAGACTAACAAGAAAATCTAGATCCTGCATTCAACTTAAGAGAAATGGACACTGTTGATTCTATTGAACCTCCTGATGAACAAGAAATGAAATGAGATAGAGAAACCAATATAATTATTAGTTCCTAGAATCTCTTGGATTGGACATAGGGCCACCATGAAGTTCTGACATGCATCTCAATATTTAGTTAGTTCTTTGAGTCCAGACCTGATCTGTCAGGCACTGTTCATTTCCTTCTCTAGACTTCTCCACATTTCTCTAGTCCATCCGCATTTGGGAGTTCCAGTCTTCTATGTATATGGCCCAGCGATCTCAAATTTTCCACCTTCTTGAGTTTTATATTTTGTTGATGATAAATATAATATTTATTATATTATATCCTATAATCATAGTGTTATATTATGCCTTTGTTCGTAGATAAGCACAGATGATTATGAAAAAGCCTCGCTTGCCCTTCTTGGTGTAGTTAAAAGCCTGTATAAAAAACTACAAGATTCAAAAAAGATTAAAACAGTAGATTTACAAAGCGACCCAAATTATAAATCAATGGTTGAAGAACCTCTTATGGAATTAGTAAATGAAGCAACAACGCATAACATACAATTAGATATTGCAGTATAAAACAATTAAAATTAATTAAATTTTTTATCATTATTATTTTTTCTTATTTACTTAAACTTATGAACGTAACCTAAAGACCCTTTTGAAGATTTTAAAATGAGGATTTCATTTGACATTACTTTAACTGTGACTTTAGTTTGTTATACAAAAATTTTATTTAATTTACAGAATACTTTTTTCTAATAAAAAAAAATCCATTTTTGATGTAAGAAAATTCAACTGTATTGATGATTAATACAGTAATTTCAATTTGAATAAACAGAAAACAACAAAGGATTGATAAATCATAAATCTAGAAATATATAAAAAATAATTTTATTAAATAACTTCAGTAATGTTAAAATAACAATAAAAAATAATTACTCTTTATATAAATATAACAATTATATAATTCAAATATAAAACAAAGGTTTTAAAAATAAACCAAGAAGATGGTATGGGGTCAGAACATTGAACATTTACTAATTATTTATTCAATGCCATGTTTGGATCACATTGCAACTTTGGATAAAATAGTTGTATGAGCCAGACATCAGCCAATCAAATTGTTTTCTGACTGACACCCACACCATTTCTTTCTTAAATATCATATAAATTTCATACTACGTATAAAAAATAAATGTTTCCAAACTAATAAGTCTTATTACAGATTTAAGCATCACAGGGAACTCTTATTTGGCTCTAACAAAAATGCTGTAACATAAGGTACTACTCTTTGAGGGAAGTTCATGTGTACATCATGATTCCCTTTAACTAAATACATTTTCAAATGAGGATTTTTTGAAAAAAATTCTTTTAATCTTTCATGGTATAACTCTTCAGAAACTTCATCAATGAGATCATATGTATCCTGAGCAATTATCATCAAAGTTTTACATACCATGCAATTTATGATACTTTTCATTTGTTGCATTGTAAGGCATGGTCGCAAAAAAAGTTTTAAACGTTGGTCAGAAGAAAACATGTATCCATCATTAGAAGGAGCAAGAGCCCTTTTAATCAAACATTCTGCAGATTCCTTGCTAATCTCTGTTTTTCTACTGCTGATAAGCCTTTTAAGAGCTTCTTCATATGTATAGGATGGAGGTTTCTTATTTAAAATATTTTTTTCTAAAGTTTGTAAATTGTTGTATATACTTCTTAAATGAGATGGAGTCCTTTCAACATCGATAATGATTGGGGTAATACCATCTATAAGTACAGCTTTTTCCACAAAATTTGGATATAGAGAACTAAAAAATACAGTAATCTGAGCTCCTAGACTGTGACCAATCATCTTAAATTTGGTCCATTTAAGGTGGTCCACAACTAGTTTAACGGAATACACATAATTTATAAATTCAAGGGGTAAACCAGGAGGAAAATGAGATGACATTCCATGACCTGGAAGATCTATACAAACATAATAAAATGCTCTAGGCAACAATGGAATAAGGCGATCAAAACTGCCACAGTTGTCTTGGATTCCATGTAAAACCAAAATGGGAGAACAGGATTTATCTCCCCAAGTTTTACCTGAAAATTTTTAAAATTTTGTATTTATTTTATAAAGACTACTTCTAATATTAATATCTAAGTAACAAAATTAAACAAATGCATTTATTTTAAAATAATAAATAAACTTATATACTGACTTTTTAAATAAAAAATTATATATGAATTAACTTCATTCTTGGCACATCTATTATAATAATTAAAGACAACAAAAAATTGGCCGTTCTTCAGACCTATAGACGTAATAGAAGTCCCTTTGAAAATTCCTTCTTTTTACTTTCTTTGATGAATATCTTTTTTTGGAATATTTTCAAATATTTATTACAAAAAATAAAAGTATTTTTAAGAAAAAAGTCGTCAAAGCTGTAACTATTTATGGCAACTAATAGACATAACTTCACCCCTGACCAAAACTATTAAAATATATGGTATGTTAGTTTTACAGTAATATGAATAAACTAGTTTTTTTTTTTGTTTTTTGTTTTTTTTTTAACTTTCTTTATTGAATATTAATACATTCTGCCACATTGAAGGGCATTAATATTAAGGCTACATGATTCATTCACACAATATGTACATACAATTAATATCAATAAAAAGAAAAAGAAATAAATAAACTAGTAATATGTATAATTTTTCAGCCGTAAGAATGCCTACAACACTAAAAAGGTTGGTGATGACTGTAACTAAAATCTAGAATATTTATAAACGAAATGTAGTCACTTGAGAATTTAAATTAAATAAAACAAACAAATTTATAACAATGGATATAGAAAAGCTTAATTCAAATGAAAAGTTACATGTCTTAAAAGCCGAAAATTAATGAAGAAATTTCAAAATTACTAAAAAAAAATGTTTGATATGCTAAAGGGAAAGAAAGAGAGAAGCAATAACTTAAGAGAATCACAACGCTAAATATTTCCTAGGAGGCTATGACAAAAAAGTCGAGCATTTGCTTATTGTTCTTAAAATATTGAAAGCCTGCCGAAAACAGACAAGATGAATATAACTCATGATTTACCCTAATTAACCTTTGGTGCTCAAAATAGCCAATAATTGTACACTATATAGACAATTCTTTACAATGAAGCACATTGTATGTGATAATTTTTTTGTAAATAAGAAAGTAATGATTTGAAGATAATATAATAGGACATAATGTCTGTGTGAGGACAGAACATCAAAGGGAAAGATTATTTTTAAATTAATTTTTATTGTTATAACGGCTCATTGGTTTATGTTCAATATTTATTTTACTGTTGAAATATTCTATTTCAGTTTTATTCAATTACTAATTGAGGTGATCGACACAAAATGACAGTTCAACATTTTTAGTGGGAACTCAATTTTATATTCTATTCGTAATTTTTCCAAATGACACAGTGCCCTTTTGTTAGATTTTTTGAACAGGAGATTAAAATAAGTTTTCCAAATCCAGAAATTGAAGAGGATATTAAGGTTAAGCTGAAGGCTGTAAGTGCCTGTTATTTTTCTGTGACAAAGCTACGGACAAGGCCGGAACTTAAAAACGAATATCTATAACACCATTATCCTACCTACGATTCTTTAAGGATGCGAAACCTGGTCACTTATATTAAGAGATGAGAAACGTCTTAAGGTTTTTGAAAATAAAGTATTGTGTACAATATTCAGGCCAAAGAAGGATGAGTTAACCGGAGAGAGTTTATACAACACTGAATTGCGTGAACTGTATCTAGTTAACATAATTGAGGTGATTACATCGCGGCAAATTAAATGGGCTTGTAAAATTGTGGGACCTAGTAATGAAAGAATTCCTAAAAGGTTAATATTTGCTGTGCCCACAGGTCAATGTCCGAAGGATAGACCAAAGCAAAGGTAGGAAGATTGTGTTAAGGGCTGAAGATCTGAAGGGACTGGGTTTCCAGTGGAGGGAGGTGTGTAACAAGCGATTGGTGGTGTCAGCATTGAACCTTTGGGTTCACAAAGCCTTTCATTATTATTTTTATTCCAAATCCAGATTAAACCGGTGCCTGAAAGAATGGTAGCACAGTGCCTTACTCACTGGGTCCTTGTGCAGACTGTTTCAGGAAAGAAAATATAGATCTGCGGATCTGGACCAATTTGTTGCGGTCCTTGAAACTGTGCAAGTCTGTGGGAAGGGCACTGCTAAATTGGCCCAAATAGAATAGAGGTTTAGTAGTCATGGGTAGTAACCTGTGGGTTGGGTTGACCGAATGGACTAAAGCGTGTGCACAGCAACGTGAGTTGCCCGGCAACCAGGTAACCGAAGAGATTAAAAATAGCCGTATAGCCTAAAAGGCGAGCTAGGGAAGAACAAAAAAAAAAGTCATAGGTAAGCTGTCAGTGCATTATGGAAACCATGGTTCATGGGTTGATTAACCCACTAAACAATATCTATGCTCTCACAAGTAAAATATTTCTAAAGGGAAATCAAACTGCGATAATTCAAAAGAAATTGATTTTTTTATAAATATTAGAGCAGCAAGGTAGCTCAGTGAGTAAGACACTCTACTTCTATTCTCCCAGGCAGGGTTTCAGGTCCAGATGTGGAAAACTATATTTTCAAATCTTTTTTAATCTTCTGTTCTTAGAATCTAACAATGTATTCTCTGCAAAAGATTATAAAAGATAACAAGCAAAATTATTAAAAAGCATTGTAAAAAGAATATGAGAGTAAAAAATATATATTTATGATATCCTTTTACAACAACTTAATTAATTTTGGTTATCTTGTCTTTTATCAACCCTAATGAAGGCCTGCAACTTAGGACAAAATATTAGCCAAAAATAAATTAAAAATCTAAGTCTAATGTCAACAATTTCTTGAATATCAGAAAAATCGTTATCTTTATCCAAAATGAACGAAATTACTATACTAGGGTTATTCTACTTACTAAGCCAATGGAAAATAGATTTAATATTAATAACCTCAAAAAAGGAAAGCTACATCTTCAGAAATAATTATAGTTTCTCATATCTATAGGCCTCAAATTTGGGACGAAACTTCGGCAAAAATAAAAATAAATATTTATTTATTTTTACTTTATATTTTTTAATGAACATCCCAACCAACTTCTCTTCAACTAATCACTACAGTCAACCATCAATCCACTATTACAAATAATTAATACTATTCTATCAAAGATAGTAAAGAGGAGGGCAGTGGCAGTCAAAAATATAATAAATCATCACTTAGAGAATCAATTAATACAGATAAACTACTTAGAGATAATAATCATAACCTTCCTACAATATGCTGAGGATAAGTCTTCTGACTTTATATTCCATGATTTAAAAATAAAATCAATGATTAAGTAAGGCGGAGAGATTTGGGATTCCAATAAATTCACAACCACAAAACTATTAACAGTTAACATTGGCTACTGATAATAAAATTAAAACTTTTGTTGGTTTAACCTCTGAATTTTAAGTATAGATTAACAGTTAATATGAATACAATAGTATTTTTTACTCTTTATTTAAATTTAATAATAGGACAACAAAAAGATATGCTGGAGGATAATTGAAAAATATTATTTTTTGAAGTTAACGGTTTTGGACCTAAAAATTAGCAATAATTGAAGATACTTTAACTTTCACTTTCAATGCAAACATTCATATTTCTTCTCAAAGAAGAGAAATATATTACGAAATCAGTACAGGTTTAGTAACTAGGTATTACAGATTATAAAGTAAAATATATAATAATTTTAAGAATAAAAATATATTTGATATATTAGGCTGCGTAAGAATTAATGTGTATAACATTTAAATTTCACTTGGGTGAACTAAAATTGAAAATTACAAACAATTATAACACCACAACATTAGCCATTAGATTCTTATAAAGTAAATTAATTAAGAACACACAAAAATTACCTGAAATTTTACCCCATGGAACAGATATCTCAATTTCACTATTGGGAATAGGCATCATTGTGTAAGAATGATATTACCTAGACAAGCTCGTTTCACCAAGATATAAAAGGTAAAAGACTTGATGTAAGAAAATCAAGGTGACTCTCATCATTATATTCGATTAGATATAAAATCTAAAAATGACTCATCAAAATGTAAATTTGATAACAATTGTGTCAAGAACTCAAAGACCTAAGTATAGCTGCCATCCAACATTAGCACAACACTGTCATTACAACAAAAAAAGTTTTTTTTTTATTTCCTTTCTTGTTAGTAATAGTGCCTAAAAATTTGGAATAAACTCATAAAACCACCTAATTCAACGAAAACTAATTCAATTTAAACACTCAAAACGAATAGTCATTCACCAACGAGCAGTTCACTGAATACCAAAAACATTTCTTTTTAATTAGGGTCATTTTCAAAATATAGAAATAAACTTGGTATGTAATATTAAATTTTCAAGCCAAAATTTAATTTGAAAAATTAAAACTTCCAGCCAATGCAATGTTTTCTAGTACCATCCTAAACATCGATTATAAAGATGAGATTAGACATTTCACAAACTATGGAAACAACAGATATATAAATGGTTATTTCACTAAATGGCCCTTTACACGGTCATTGTTATTTAGTCAATATCCAGTTTCGTCAATATATTGACCATGTAAGGGCTACATTGGCATCAATTATATTGACGTCAATCAAACTGGTTTAATTTTTATTGAAGCTCCTCCAATATTATTAAAACTGTGTCAATATAATTGCACGTATGAGGGCTATATTGAGCAATATTAAACTATATATATGGATCTTGAGAAGCTCTAGGCGATACCAAATTTCCAGTGCCCTCTTGGCAATATGTTTGAGAAACCCTACAGCCAGGGCCAAAAAATCAACCTGATTGCAGGCGAAGGTTTGAGTATAAATTACGAAAGCGTGTGTTATTATAAGTAAAATGGACCCTGTTTGCTATTCCAGAGCCGCTGCTATAAAAAACGGCGGCTTATTTAAAACATATTAGGCTAGTAACATGTGGATAGAAACGGGAAATTCATTGCGAAAAATGTGAGAAATGTTTCTATTTTTTCAACTTGTATATATGGGTTTAGACATTTGAAAAACAAAATTTCTAACGCGGGCCACTTAGGCAAAACGTTTTACAGCCTAAAAAGTCAGATTTTTTTCCGATACCTTTTTGTTTTTTCACCTATAACTCCTAAACGATGCGTCGAAACGAAAAATGTATTCTTTTAGAAATTACAGAACGTTAAATTGTTCGTCGAACTAGCACATAAACTTAATAATTTGGTTACGTGGCAAGATATAAAACCACGACCAACCAACGATGATTTTTACCAAATCTATCATTAACCGAGACAAATTACTATACATAGCCCTATAGCTTGGAAATGAGTTCCTTATGAGGAAAAGCACAGAAAGTTGTAGAGCATCATATTTTACATCCACTGAGTACCAACTATTTTAATGTAAGTTACTTACACCGAACGAATTCGGTAATGTCCGGATGGTCAGAAATTGGTATATGTGATTTTCAATATTTCAACAGCATGGGTGTCTATTCTACTGAGCTATTTTTGTTTAGAGTCTATTACATGCCTGTTTTCCACCTCTCAGCAGCGAAGGATTTTGATAATTGATGTGTCAGAAGATACCGAATTTCATAAAGAAATAACAAATCTCGATTCGAGGTATACAATTGGCCTACATTAAAAATGACAGTACTCAGTTGACGCAAAATTTGATGCTATAAAACTTCAAATCTATGAGCTTTTCCTCTTAGGGAACTCATCTCCTTACTGGCCCATTTATCATAATTAGTATCAGTTTTTGACTGTAATCTGACTTTTTGGCTGTAAAAAGTTTTCACTTGGTGGCCAGAGTTAGAAATTTTGTTTTTTTACATATCTAAGCCCATATATACAAGTTAAACAAATAAACACTTTTCTCACTTTTTTCACAAATGATTTCCCGGTTTGATCCTAGAGTTACTGGTCTAGTATTTTTTTAATCAGCCGCCGTTTTTGATAGCAGCGGCTCTGGAATAGCAAACAAGGTTCATTTTACTTATAATAACATACATCCTCGTAATTTCCAATCAAACCTTCGTCTGCGATCAGGTAGATTTTTGGATCTTGACTCCAGAGCTAAGTAGGTTGGTGATACTTTGTTTTACTTTCTTTAGGGGGAGAGGGAGAGTCAACTTCCTCCTCCGTATTTTTTTTTAAACGATAAAATGTCAGTATGTTTGAATAGATGATTGATGCTTTATTTTACTTTTTCTTGGGTGAAGGAAAGGGAGAAGGGTTAACCTCTCTCCGTTTTTTTTTTTTTTTTAAATAAAATGGCAACATGTTTGGGAGGGTGGGTGATGCTTTGTTTTACTTTTTTTTTGGTGTGTAAAATAAAATATGACAGTATCTCTAAAAACGTATTTATATAATAGAGAGATGACATACTATTTTATATTTTTATTTTCTTTCTATATTTTATGTGTTAGTAATGTTTTGTTTGGTTCACAGGCGGATTTACGGCTTTCGGACTGAAGTTCCTACCAAAAATGGTGAAATATCACCATGACTTATGAAAAAAATATTGAAAAATTATCTCTAAAAGTATTATTTTTCGTGTAATTGCATGTAATAGGACTTTAAAAATCACTTAAATACCGTCTTGTATCGGTAGTTAGTTTCTTTCCTTCTCCTCCAAAGTAATTATCGTTATAAATTAAAAAAAAAAACTCTTGGGCTGAAGCCCCCCAAAATGAAATCCTGGACCCACTAGTGGTTTGGCGTGCACACACACCGTTTTGCAAAACTTAGTGGTTTTGACTCAGGAGAACTCAAAATGTGTATTTCCGTTGAAATCTCGAATTCGAAAATTTTTACGATTGCCATACTTCACTATATATTTCATACATAGGTAATTGACTGTGGCGAGGTGGTCGTGCGGGTTAATGCGTTTATAAAACATACGTTTTCTGGCAATATGATAATCTGAAGATTACGAGTTTGAGTCCCGGTGTCGGTGGCATTTTACTTCCACCCTCTCTCCTAGTCCGGAAATTCCCCATATGGCCAAAAAGAAGAGGTATGGAAAAAAATAAAAAAATATATATACAGGTAAGTGAAAGTCAAAACATATATTTTTTTTTTATTATATATGTATACCGCATAACGTTGTTAATTTTTATTAACAATATCGTTTTCAATATCTGCTGATCTATCAATCAACCTGCTGAATTGTTCCATGATAGACAATTTGAGGAAAATATTGGTGTCACTTAATGAATGTATGACAAATATTGGTACTCTTCATATCGTTCTTTCTCCAGCTACAAGCAGCCCTACAGCCTTTCATCATGGACGAATGTTTCTTATAAAATTGGATAGCGAAGAAATTTTAGAGGTTTTCGTACTTTATTTTGAGACTGCTCTTCTCCCTATGACAAAATGTCGAATGTTCAGAGAGAATATAAATATAAACATAATTAAGAAATTGTAATTCTTACTTTCACTTACCTATAATATAATATATAGTAAGAAAAAGTATTGTAATCGTGAAAATTTTCGATTCTGAGATTTCAAAGGAAATACTCAGTTTGAGGTCCCCTGAGACTAAATAACCTAGTCTCGCAAAATGGTCTGTATGTATGTGAACAGTGTAGCTAAAAAACGAAAAGTCGTACCAAACTGATATTACGTATGTAAGTACTTATGTAAAAGAAGAAATGAAATATTTCATGGATGTATAAAGCATATGTTTAAGCATTACCTTAAACACATTTACTGTAGTTTAATAATTCTAAGTCTGATATTATATTTAAATAATTAGGTATTAATGTCCGTTTTTTTCCGAAAAATCGTCATGTAACCTTTTAGAGAATCAAATAAGTGAATAATATGATAAATTTTCCCTTTGTGAAATCCAAACATTATCCACTTAAAATATTTTAATAAACTTTACGATGGAAAATAACAGTTTAATAACTAATAGGAGCACAATTCATATTCATTTATAGGTTGAATATAGAGATATACTTTCAAATCTCTCTAGACATATATACATATCTCAGAGACTGCAGTTATAAAAACAGATGGAGTACCGAGGTTTTTATTGTATACCGTTGATATAATTAATAGGATTTTTGTTATTTTAATGGCCTTAATTTCTATTCAAAGAAGAGAGTAAGTGAATGTTGTGTGTTGGGCCCACCAGATTTTTAACCATATGAAGGAACAGATTTATTTTTGTGTCAAAACCGTACGACAGCAATAAAATCTACTCTAATCTATAATAATCCGTATCAATAATAATATTGAATCAATGTTATATCAGTTACGATCTTGCTACTACTAAAGAAGGAGGTTTACAAAGAGGTAATAATCTTTCTTTCTTTTTTTTTTTTTTTGGAAATGAACAATAATGAATTTCTTATTACTTTAATTGTCTTGGCTTTATTATTAAAAAAAAAAATGTGTTCTTTAACTCTTCAACATGTAACTTCAAAACAGTTGAATGATATTTTGTATTAGTAACATATCAACCAGCAAAGGGTTACAAATCAATGAAACTGACCCAAATCAGTAATGACTAATTTGGATAGATAAAAATGTAATATTATCCCTTCATAAATATAATAACTCCTGTTCATAGCCAATCAGAAGAGAATTAAGACCGTTTGTGGCAGATCTATGTTTGCAAACCCCTAAAAAAAAGTTATAAATAATTAATTAAATAACAATTTTTCAATAGAAAACTTCCTAGGCTAGTATAACAAAAAAAAAAAAAAAAATGAAATTTTCTTTAAAATTATCATTCAATTAAGAAAAAATATATATGCTCATAAAAAAAAAAAACGATTTATTGGGCTCCCTTAGGAAGTTGTTCTAGTATGGAACAATCCCACAATATATCACTCACTGCATTTAATATTTTGTAATAGGTTGTAGACAAAAAGAGTTTATAGAGATGTAGAATGGGATGTGTTTTTTATCATTGTTTAAAATGAGATTCCAGTTTTAAGTTGGATACACTGATACATAGTGTTATTAAATCAAAGCAGATACTACTACATGTCTGATAGTATGATAGTTATAATAATTATGATACAATTAAAGCGAATGGCTAGTCAATAAGATACGGGCTTCGGTTAGCGTTGCTCCTATTATGATAAATTATTGTTGTTAAGGGCTGTCTAGAGATGAATAAAAAAACAGATTCGCGCATGCGCCGAAGCCAATTGCAGACCTGAAGGTCGACAGTTGTCAAACTGGTCAGTTTTGTCCGATCATTTGGTGTTGTTGGTGGTGTGTTTGTTAATGTTGAAAGAGTTTACGTAAAGTAAGAGCTCTATATATTATTTACATAGATTAGTATTATAAGCGAAATAAATGGATGGAAATAGTTCTGCTTTCTAATTGTATACCTATCCGTTTTATACAAAAATAATTGCATGATTTTATTTCGAGTTGTGTTCAAGACTGGCTTTATTTTGTCTTCATACATCCTTACTTGCAATAGTTGTGATTATTTTCACCATTAATGATAAACGTATCAAATATTGTAGACTAATGTATATACCGACATTTACATAAACAATTATTAGCATGATATTAATTAAACAATTAAAACTTGATATTAAGTTTAAACTAAATATTTATGTATTATTTAATAAATGTGTTTTTTTTTTCTTAAATAGCAAATGGCAATTGCTACAGGCCTCACATTAATATAGTTTTATTATCTCACATTAATATGTTTTATATGCCTAATCCATTGAATGAATTTTTAAACAACTATATATTTTTAGGAAACATTTTTCTTTTTCCTATCTTCTTATATTTGGTTTCCTTATAGTAGAAATTGAGCCACTATAAGTTTTTATTTTATGTTTATTTTGAGCACATTATAAGAATAAAATACAATTTAAAAGTATTATATCTAGTAATTCAATTAATAAATAAGATTATATTATTATTTATAACATTGTATATTTATAAGTTGACCGTTTGTATAATGAGAGTAGAGATGAACCGGTAAAGGAACTTCAAATAGTATAAACTATTTATTTAAACCATTCAATAAATATTTTAAATTATTCGATGTACCTGTTTTTACCATTAGTCTTGCACATCTCTTACCTTATTGTGTATAACACTCAGTCACATCTTAAAATTTTGAGTTATAAGCTTAGGGGCTTCAAAATTTGGCTATCAACGGACCTTCTAAATCACACTTACGCCTCTGGCTTTAACACACTTCAATCAAAGCCAATAATTAAGCCATCATGTTGAAAATTACTTGTATTCTTCGGTGATGTCGCAAATAAGCATACCCACAAACTTAGGAAAATTATCTGAAAATAAATAAAATTCATTTGCACATAACTCAAAAAGTATATAATTTATCGTTGGTTGATCAGGGGTTCTCAGAAGGGAATTTTAACGGGTTTATGATTTTTTTTGGAGAGTATCAGGGGTAACCAGAAGAGGGTTCCATGACGCAAGTTTTGAATATCAACATTTTTGAGGGTACAAATTTTGGCAGAAACTGACCATATATATATTAGAAGCGGGGGAAATCGAGCGGCGTGTTTATAATACCCGATAAACCGAATAATACGAATTCAAATATCGGTGACTGGGCAACCTGTAACTTTGGCAAGATTTTGCCGCCCTGGCCCAGAAAAAAAAACCTTACAGCATTAAAAGCTAGGGAGGAGAAAACAATAATATTACATAGCAAGAGTAATTGATTATATAATAACAATTTTTATAATTTTACTTTCACTTGCACGGTTTTTAAGAACAGGAGATTAAAACAAATTTCTTTGGAGGAGGAAATGAACTATCTCACTTGGGAGAGATGGATCTGCACTCTTGGGATTGATAGTAGACACGATCATTTAAATTCCCTTGAAAATTGAACGGTTATTAGCAAAGAAACGGCTTATTACTCATGTATTCGGTTTGTTATTTTCAATTGTAAACTTTTGTAATGGGCCATTTATTATATTCATTTATTTTCGGATTATATTTCCGTTCTGAATAATTTACCATGCTAATTATTCGAACGGGTCAATTAGTAACTAGATATTAGTTTTTTTAATGATTGTCTACTATTACATTTATGATAATACATATCAGTTCGAAATTAATTTGATAGTTGTTGCTAACTGCTTCTAGTTTCTGTTGGTTATATAAACATATAATTCATTTGATTTGACAATTAAAGTTATTTATACATGGTTTACCATCGTGCTCATGTATATATTTTTTTTTTCAAGATACAATAAGAATTTTTTTTTTTTAGTTATTTATGTTTAACTGCACTTTGATATAAATAAATATGCCAGTATTTTAAGCCTGGAGGGTCAAAGCATGGCTATTTTTAATCTGCTCACCGTTTCTTAATGTCTACAGCATAGGGTGATAATTTTTTTTAAATATGAGTAACTTAATTAATAACTTAATTTATTTGATAGGTATGCCTGCATCTAAGATGTTTATTTTCATTACTTTTTTATTTTTTTTTTTTTTAAGATAATTTTAATTCTATTTTATTCATTTATTTTCATTCTATTATTACTATTATTTATATTTTCTTTCTTCACTGTGATATTTTATTTTGTTCTTTTGTAGCTTTATATTATTTGAAGTTAGCTTATTTTTTTATTTTTTTTTTTAATTTGTAAATATGGTGTGAATGTGCTCTCAGAACTCTATTATAAATGTCCTTTATTGAGACAGATTGTAATATTTATCAATAAACAAATAAAATACAAAAAAAAAAAAAAATATTTGAAGAAATGATGTGAAAACAATGGTATGACACTGGTCAATCCATTTATAAAATGTAACGGATTCTGATTGTCCGAGTCCACATTTTACATTATGCTAAATCTCATAATTTGCCTTCTAATGCATTTACGCTATACAACAGTGTCGGGTCGGGTCTATGAGAGAGAGAGAAACGAGTAAATATTCCCTCTGAAAATAATCATTAAGAAAAATAAATACAACTGTATAAAATATGCCCAGTTGTGCCAGTAGTCGTGAATAAATTATCATTCGTTAGGTTGGGATAAACAAAAAAATTTTCTCACTGTGTGAGGAATCGATCCTGTATCAATGACATTAGTTTACGTGTCTATGGCTAAGACAATATATTTGTATATATATATATATTTAAATGAAATGAAATAGTTAAATAATCTATTTATTACAATTTATCACGTAGATAAGGTAATATTTTTTTCCAAATCCTATGATTACCTTGATATTTCTCCCTTCACCTATTGTATAGCTTGCACAGTTTGCAATATTGGCAAAAATTAAAATATAATACATGTATATATTATATTAATATTAAAAAATTACTGTAGGAACAAGTATTAAAAAGTCTTTCATACCTTTTCAATTTTTCTCTCACTCCATCTTAAGCATCATATATTTTAGACATCAAGGAATTAATTTGGTTCCGTTTCTGTTTTTATTTTATTTTTATTTTTTTTTATTGAATAATAATACAATCAGGCACTGTTGGAGGGCTATAAGTATTAAGGCTAGAAGTTTTCTGTTTCTAGACTAATTTATTTAACGGGCATATCACCTTTTGAATGTGGTTTTAATTTTTAGGAATTGTGCCGGTTGGCACCTAGGTCCTTTATCAATGCTGTCATATTCCATCCATAACATTCGCTTACGAACGCGATGTTTTTCTCGATAAACCTATATTTTAAAAAGGTGTAATTTGGTTGGCATTGTACAAATGATCTGGTACGTATTTCATCGATTTCCATTTAACAATTAAAATTAAAGTAATTGTATGTTAATATAATATAATACAATGGCTATGAAATTTGGTAGGCAGTAAACATATGATGATAGGCGGTTATGTTAGTTTTCAAACTTAATATAGATTTGACGTGTTTTATTGGATTATTTTTATTCAGTTTTATATAAAATTACAATCTTAGTAAAGTATGTGCATATATTCTTATGTACCCAATACAAATAGGTGGGTGTACTGATTTACTTAGGAAGATTTCTTTATTTTTATTTGTTTAGAGTCCCTTTGACTTTCGTCAGTCATCACATCATTGTAACACGATCATATTAAATTAATACAATTAATTTTGTAGCGCTGAATAAGCCTATTTTATGTTTTCTTTACAGTTTTGAATGATTTGTATTTAGAATTTTTGTTTTCAATCCATATTAAAATACAGTTCGTAGCAGTGGCGGATTTTTTTTTTTAATTTAATGCCTACAAAAGAAATACATAAACAAAAACTCCTTATAGATTTTTTTTTTATCTACATTTGTTGTTTGTTTATGAAGGTCCTGATGATGTCATTTTTTGTAGTTTATGTGAACCTAAATTTCTGCTAATTTTTTTGTAGATAGTTAAAGTCGTATTGAATAACATTTTCGAAAAAAAAAATCACTTGAGGAAGCCTGTAGGGATAATTTTATAATATCCCATCATCACCAGAAAATAGAAAATTTCTATTCAAAATAGAACTGTAAGTGAAAGTTGTTTATTGCGCGCACTAGATTTTTTTTTAAATGCCTTAATAACAATGTTATCAGTGAGTCAATTCAAAGCTTGCCGATTTGAAATATTTGCCACCCATGCAAATCGAATCGCATGTACAAATTCCGTCTCCATTTATGGTCACCGAACAGATTAGAATCACTTGCATCATCATTTTTCTCCTAACTTTGCAAATACACTTCCATTTTCCAAGTTAGGTGATAGTATACGAATTACACAGCTGTATTGAATTATTGTCAATAAATACATTTTTTTATTAGCTCGAGTAATTTCGACCACTCATAACCCATTGGTGCCCAGAACATTATTCAATTTTGGAAAACACCATACTACCCAGTTTTCTCCCAAATTTTATATTGGGAGAAAAACCAATAAATCCACCCGGAGGACAACTTTACTGATAAACTTTACCCTTTTCTGGCAACGATTGGAATTTGGATACATATTTAAATTTTAACTTAAATTGGCTTAACTTCCAACATATGCACATATATATATGTGTGTTTATATAGACAAATACAATAGCGGACTTTTTTCCGGACATTACGACATATTGAGGACAAATTTGCGCATGCCAATAGATTACAATAATTTTAATAAATGGATTTTGATTGAAAAGTCTCTCTATAACGGACAGCAAAAGCTATTAGGGCTTATATTTCGGCGACTTTTGTCCAATTTGTAGAAGCTTAGTTCAGTTATGTATAGTAGGACTTCGGTTTTGAAACTGTTGTAATGTGAAACTTTTTCACATTATTTGTTCTTAAGTTAATTCTTTCTTA